GAGGGGAGGAACTGGCAGTGGCACAGAATATGTAAGAGGATTATCAGAGCCATCTGCAGTTTACAGGCGTCCAACATGCTTGTGTTTCATCACCTACAAAGTTTTCTGCCTGAAAGCACTGTGATTTTCTGCTTGTAAAGCCACAGAGTGTTGCTGACGAACTTCCAGGAATCTGCGTGCCATGGAATGGGGATGACACACAGTGTCAGTACTGGGACCCTGCCTAACCCATGCTGCTCAGCTGGAACAAAATTMGGGCTTCAGATCAGGTTCTGCAACCCATTGCCTCAAAGCAGGATGTACAGATGGGGCAGAAATCAGACAAGTTACTCAGAAATATAAACATTAAGAACGTGTTTGGTTTTCAAAAACCGAATTTCAGAGTTTACAATATACCAAGTTTGAAAAACTTCAAAAGTGTAGAAGAACTTGTTCCCCCAAGGACAAGCAASCAGCTGTCTGGCCTGAAGGGAGTTCCTAGGAGGGCTGGCAGTGGACCAGGCCATCCGTCTGCACACSAGCACCAGCCTGAGCACACTCCACAGAATCAGACAGCTCTGCTTTTTTAAGGGCAAGTCCCAGGAATGCACCCATCTCACTAGAACAACACAGAGCTGCTGTTCTATATATCTGGTAACATTCTTATTTAAATACTTCTTGAAAAACAATTTCCTGCCTTTAAAGCTGTCTCAAAACATAYATATACCCAGACAGTTAAACAGCTTTGAAATGGTATGTAACAGGAAAATTTACCCATGAATCTGACGTATCTTTGTTTTTATGGAACAGAASTGTTTGCTTAGTCATATGTGACTGGTGAATTCTGTGATAATTTCTGTTTAAACTCATTTAAAAGACATACAATCTAAAATTTCAAACACACGTGAAATAAAAGTTTCATTCATGGTACAAAATCAAACTCTGTCAAAGGAACTATTTTTTCATCTTTTTCCCCTGGAAATACGTCTGGAAGAGACATAATTTACATTCCTGTATCTACATGGTTTTCCATCACACTTACTTCAGACCTCTCCATGGAGGATCTAAGTAAGAATCTCTGCACAAATTGGGAAGTCAGTTGGCTCCAAATAGGGATAAAAGGAAAGAMTGTTCAAAGAAAGACTCTCTAACTAGAAATACTCTGACATTTAATTCTTCAATTCATGGAGCAGGTTCCTTCTTGATGTCCTATCAAAGTGGAAGGAGAGGTGATGGGAAGGTTCTCCCCGCAGAAAACCAAAAGATTTGCTAGGTTTCCACTCCTGAGCTTCTCTTAAAAACTATTTCTSTATTTTAGTTTTCCACTTGGATACCCTGTATTTCTCCGTGGTGGGTCAGTCTCCAATTACCAGCAAAACAGCCTTTAAAAAAGCCATCTACAGCCAGAACATTTTGACACAAAATGTAGTTAAAAAGTCCAAGCAGATCATTAGCAGCACTGAGCATGTTCCCTTCACATTCCAAATGAAAATTTACATTATTATTTCCAATTAAAGAGAAAAAGAGTATTTTCTTCCTAATACTAGTGATTTCTCATATCAATTCAGATATTTACACTCATTCCCTATTATCTATATTATGTCTGGTTCATATTCAGTAAGGTACATTTCTTCAGTGTAAGTTTTAATGTAAAACCTTAGAGATTAATTTTCTAGTTATAATTGTGTTTGTCTATTTATAGCCTTACATACCTTTAATCAAGCTCTGCTCTTCATTTGATCTWTTCCATTAAAGCTATTTTTTTCCATTAAACAGCTGTTTTAAAGGGCTAATATCAACTATTTTTTTTTCTGTAGAAAGATGAACCACCAACACTSTCTCCCTCTAACACCTCCTTTTTCTAATCACTCTCAGAGATATTTTGTTCCCTTTTGAACCTCTACATTTGGTAATGTGTAGACCACTTGGTGGTCACCCGGCTCAGAAATTCATGGAAGATAAATAATAATCAAAACCAAAAGTCACATAAAGGAGGAAGAATTATTAAAACCATCTGAAGGAAAAACACCCCAAGAGTTTATAGATCACAATCTGGTTGATTGTAAGCACTGCTCTTACTGCATGGAATCTATCTATGGATTCTGCAGAAGCTCACAGATCGCAGTCCACAAGAAGGCTTTTTACATCCCAAATGCAGAATGCAGAGGACAGAGGACAAGAACAGGCTACTCATTTTAGCACTGTGTGYTCTCACCCCGATTTCTAAGATCCCAGTACACAGTAACAAACAACAGCCCAAGAAAACGCCAATCAGGACCAACACTATTAGCAACCTATGCACCGGGTTTTTTTAAACACAGTTTATTAAAATATTAATCTATTTCACTATCTATGTTTGTTTACTTTCCCCATGTATCAAGAATCATAGAATAATYCGCATCCGAAAGGACTACACTCAAAGAGCAAATARCTTCAACATTACATCAAGTTGCTCAGGAACTCTGCAGTGAGTTCTGAGCACCTCCAGGGCTGGAGATTCCCCAACCTCCCTGGGCAGCCTGTCAGCTGAAAAGAATGAAATGACAAGGAATCCAAACAGAAAGCCAGTTTGGCATTCTGAGATACATGTATATTTCTTCAATATTTGGATTTCCATAAAACAACCCATGTTTTCCCCTTCACGTTTTCTCTTCTGAAATAATTTTCATGTCAGATAGTTGTTTTTTCAGTACATCTCAAATTATCACATTCATACAACAATGTTTTAACCTAACTTCTCTTTAATTTGTTAAACAAATCTGTCCCTTTTTGGACTTAATTTTAAAAGAACATTTGCTATGTGCCTCTAAAAAGAATATGTAAATACTTATACTTTTGTTGCTTCTCCAGTCTTTCACAGGAATATAGTAATACTGCAAACATTACTTCTCACACACACWCTCAGAACAGAGTCTATTACTGCTGCATATTCATACATCCTTTCTTTTAATGTGTTTGGTGCAATCCAGCTGGCATTTTAATCAGAACAGTGACCACTATCGTTCACTTTAAGTCCCCTTTTACAGACTTCTGTATTTTACTTATCACATCAGAAAGTTATTTTACTAAATTTGCTCAATTCCTTCTCTTTTATTTTCCCCCCACAGAAATGTGAATGCCAGAGAATCAAAATACCCTTTCTCCTTCAGACAGGAAAAACATTATTATTTTTTGCATTACTTCACATTGGAAACTCTTCCCAAGGTCAAAACTGCTAAAAAAGTGAGCTGAAGGTTAAATTAAAACTTATCTGACACCAACAATGGTCTGGTTGCAGGCCAAGACAAGAAGCCAAAATCACAACAGCGATAAGCCCTGCAGTTAGTGGAGAGATGGTGGATAACCATCCTCATTGTTATGTCCCTGCTAGATCTTACCAGTTTCTGAGAAGAAAAAAGAAGGTAGGACAAAAGTCCAACAGAACAAGGGTTAGGTATGTTTCCAGGCCTTTAATTGTGACTCTAGGTGGAATAGTTGGCTGAAGGGGAACTTCTATCCCAGTCTCTACACTCAGAGCATTAAAATTCTACAAAACTCCCATTTGTTTTTCCCTACCCCACCCAATGCTCAATAGCTCCACTTCTCTCTAGCATTCTCTCACTCATGTTACTCAGTATTCCACTCCTCTCAGSCCCACCTCTTCCCTGTTTTTTCTCACCATAATACCCACTTGAGCTCTCCAGCCCTCCCACACAGGAGAAGCACTATGATCTTCTGAGTTGAAAGTCTCCARATCTGCTACAGGATTTCTAAGTCAGCAGCACTCCCCAACCCCCGTAATTGGCACAGAGTAAGAGACTGTATATAGAGMGCAGTCACCAGCAATCAATCCAGACAAGACTGCAGAGGAGAGAAGTATTTTTAAAAAAAGGGATGCTTATTTTGTCTCTGCTTTGAATTCCTCCAGAGGGAATGGTTCCAAGAAATGACAGGAGGGGAATTCTAACTGCAGTAGTGTTCTTACCTGCAGATTTTCCCTGAGGTTAATATGCTGACATGAAGATATTATGAAATACAGTTTGACAGCAATGACTAAATTAGATTGCAATAAGTTTATTTGTCCTCTGCCACACACACCTATAAGTCAACACCATTAAGGTGGCCAAGTGCTAAGGAGATGAACTCAACCAAGACCATGGCAATGTGTAGGGACAAAGAAATGCATTTCAAAAGCTCTGGCAGCACACCAAGATTTCCTTTGACAAATAGACACTCTCAATTAGCTACCTAAAACTAAGTGCAAGCTCCTCATTCAATCATCATAAATTATTGTGGAGARCCTTTATCAGCTTTAATATTAAAAGCAGCTATAGAAGACTACAGCATACCACACCATAGGAGAGGCTTATCAGCTTTACTGTAATGCAATGCAGAATTCTGGCCAATGGTGCAGAATTTGAATTTCTTCAGGGCTAATCCACTGAAATCTCATAGAAACCAGGAGGTCTCAGGAATTTCAGTATTGAGGATACAAGCAAATATAGCAATTTACATCACTGATATAGGTTAGAAGAAGTCAAAACCAATCTCCCTGTTTCAGCTCAGAAGAGGGCTTGAAGTATTTGCTGGATTTTATTCCCTTTAACAGAGACTGTAACAGAGGTGCCTCGATTACACAGAATGGATGGACAGACTTATTTCAGTATCATCTAAGATAAGGAGCCTAAGTACAAGTGATTTTTAATAAGCTTTTGAAAGTTTATAGACCTACGTGGCATTTCCTTTGTCTATGGCTAGCATTTTGGAGCACATACAACTTAAATCAGATAAAGAAGCTTTTTAGTCTACCCATTTTGATGAAGTGAAGAGTTGAAAACATGATTTTAAGTAAAGCTTTTCTCATTAAAACAAATCCAGAGACAGAAAATTTTACAACCACTATTCTCTCTTTTAATGACCTTCTCTCTCAAAAAAAAACCACATAAAGCAAAAAATGACTACTTTTTCTTACTAATAATATGAGAGCCTATATAACATAGATTCAGTCAATGAGTCCTCTTAAAAAAAACTAAGATACTTACGGAGTCCAAACCTTCGGAAAAGCAGCAATTTCTTCTGGTGTGTATTCATCTAACCTCTTGGGAACTGCGCGCGGCTGAGGAATCWCTTGTAGAAGGTTCTTCTCTACATCTTCTGGAATAACCTGAGGCAGATCACAATAGCCTTAACTATCTGACTGTGTGAAAAACAAYACCACTACCCACAAAGCAAGACGAAAATTTGTCAATACTACTGCATTCTTCATGCTAAGTGTCTGACTGAAATACACCAATCTCACACGTCTTGAATCACAGTTTTGTCAAATAATGTGGAAAAAACCCACCTACATATAAACATATAAAAAAAAAAGCTTGATTTTTTTTTTTAAATTTACCTTCTTATGACATGAGTGTTATTGCTAACACTCCCTGTTCACCTTCATATAACACAGGAATGAAAATGTAACTGCATGACTACTCACATCTTCGGGGAACAGGTGTAACCTCTGCATTAGAGTTCTTCTCTGAAGATTTTTTGGAAGCATTCTATAAACAGCCAGTTTAACAATCTGAGGAAAGGAAACATAGTAACAAATAATCAGACTGTTAACCTATTTCATGTTATCTGTAAACTGTCTGATTTACTCCATTAATCACTAAACCTCTTTTTAGTTATCTTCTTTCCAGCTGAAGAATTCTGGCACCACACTGAGAAGGTGTTCTAGACTTAAGGTTTAAAAAAATACTTACTCTTCATTATATAAATGCTTATTTTAAGAGCCATGTAGAAAATTCCAGCTTAGAAAGTTAAGAGCTATATTTAGCATTGCGGATGACTGCTTATGATCATTCAACTTCAAAGATTTGAGAAGCTTGCGGTAATTCCACATTGTATTGCATATTTACATACACACATTGTTTAGGAAAARAAAAGGCTCTAAAAAAYTTCACAAGTGYTCCCAGCAACTAGTTTARCATTGTAATTTGCKATGTTTAAAATAGTTTTATAATTAATGCTTTGTACCTTAAGCAAAGCTGGCATACCAAAACACTGTTTTATGAACTTACTATTTATATTTATAATTTATTGCCTTGCTATTAGTTCCAGACGAACAATCCCACTTCTAAACATGAGGAACAAATAGAATTAATATATCTATATGAGATGATGCTAACTGAAATGTAAACAAAATTCAACAGGATTTTCTCTTGGACTCTAATGAAAGATGCCTTTTATTTAAATACAAAACACATTGTTATGGACTTTATCCAGGAGGGAACATTTGTAAATGTAAAAAAATGCACATAACTGTAGGAGACAAAAAAGGTTTCGCAAAGGACAGCAAAACATTTAGTGGTAGAYCTACATGCAATTTAGTAAGTAAAATGTTTGCTCCAGGACACTCGGATATAAATGAGGTCCAATTCAAAAACTACCCAGGCAAGCTTAGTGCAACATCAAGCTCAAGACAATAAACCACACTGAAATGCAGGGCACTAGGCACAAACAAATCTCCCACACACCTGGATATTTTGCAAAGTGTATTCAATTAAACGGCTTCTTTTTATAAAATTAACAAAAGGAATTAAATTTAAATTTTAGAGACAATCCCCAAGTTCCCAGATGGAACCATGTTAGGATTTTCAGGTGTTACGCAGACAGTACCACAAATCTATGGACAAATACAAGTAATCGAGATGATAGGAGAAATGTTTTAGGTCATGCAGAATAATATACAGTTTTGATACCTTCTCTGATAAAAATTAATMAACATGTATTAAAAAACAAAGATGAAAATGAATGCTTTTTAGGCATAAAAACTATTCATGCTTGTAGAGCAAAATTCAATTTGTTTAGGTCACTATACCATGTACTTAGACAAAGGGAAGACAAAGACAGAAAGTRCAACTTCATTGGCTTGCTTCTGAATACTAAAAATCAAGTGACACACCATAACAAGAAATTACACAGATACTGACAGCAGCTCATGTGAACAGCCCTTTTATCATTAGCAATTTTAATTTCATGCACTTATTTTCCATTTTATCCAGTGTTTTCCCTTATTGCCAATGAAAAATCAAAATGCATCAGATCTAAATGAACAAATCCTGAGACTTCACAACACATTGCCTGTGGGGATTTTGTTGTTATCCAAAACTTTAAACTTCAGATTGTGTTAGAACCAGCGCTGATTTCTTACACTAACAAACTGTACATACACACAGTCCAGCATACGACCTCTGACCTACAGATACACAGAGCTAGTAACTTAAACATTTCAGTCCAATCAAAAGAGATATTAAAATACTTCAATGAACATTATGTTATAGATTTTGGTTCTTCAAGCCACCAACATTTGATTTTTGATCTTCCTCTGCAGCATGTGGCACAGACATCTGCTAAAACAAACTAGTGAGGTAGAGCAGCTGGTCTATTTTTGTCGCAGATAATTCTGATCAGTGAATCTGTTCTGAAGTTTTTATCTACTTTACAAAAGGAACAGTTCAATAGTAAAACTGTGCCTATTAAAACAAACCACTCTGTAAAGAATGACTGATTAATAAACTCAAGTTTTTTAACAATGGAAAAATACTTTCAACGTAATGTAGAGTCGCTGCAGTACTGACAACCTCAGGGTGTAACAAACTATCAAGAAAACAGGACATGAAGAATGATAATGGATAATGAATGATCAAGGATAATTATATATTCAGTAACAGTTTCTGCAGGTGAGTATTCTAAGTGCAATAAGCATGATCCAAGGCATGCAGTGCTACATWTACTATTCTCCATGTTCAAGAAAGGATTGCCTTTCTGTGCCATTTCACACATGAAAGAAGTTCACAACCACAAGACCTGGAACAGAAAATTCAAGTTCACGTGAAGCACACACCATTTTTTACTACCAGGAAAACCACAGAACCATAGAATGAAGGTTTTAAGATTATCCCAAGCTGCTGCAATCAGCAGGAAATCTTCCACTAGACCAGGCTGGTCAAAGCCTCATCCAGTCTGGCCTTGAACACTTCTAGGGATGGGGCATCCATAACTTCTCTGGGATGTCTGTTTCAGTCTCACCACTCACACATAAAAAAAAAAAATAATTTTATTTCCTATCTAAATCTCTTTCAGTTTAAAAACATCACTGCTTGTCCTGTCACTACAGGCCTTGATAAAAGCTCTGTCCCCATCTTTTTCGTAAGCCCCCTTTATATACTTGAAAGGCCACAATAAGGTTTCCCCAGAGTCCTTTCTTCTCTAGGCTGAACAACTCCAACCTTTTCAATCTCTCCTCATAGGAGGAGTGTTCCATCCCTCTAATATTCTTGTGGTCCTCCTCTGGACATGCTCCAACAGGTCCATGCCTTTTCTGTGCTGGGGATCCCAGAGTTGGACACAGTGCTCCAAATGGGGCCTCACCAGAGTGAAGCAGAGGGGAAGAATCACCTCCCTCACCCTGCTGACCACACTGCTTTGAATGCAGCCCAGGATTTGGATTTACCCTGCTGACCACACTGCTTTGAATGCAGTCCAGGATTTGGATTTACTGCAAGGTCATTGGGCCAACTAAAGAATAGAAGGCTAAACAGGGAGCCAGGACACAGAAGGTATTGCTGGAAAAATTCCTTCACTGTAACTTCTGCCTCAAAGACTCTTCTATAACCCAAAACAAATCCAAACCCAGCTCGTGGAAAGACCKAGATCCAACTTCTTGCCCAAAATTCAGCCTGCAGCCAGAACTCCACTACCACTGGCAACAAGTCAATGAAGTAAGTAAAGCACAGGCTTAAGTAAAGGTGTACAGACTGCTTTTGCACTTTAAGTAAGGTTGTGTAAGAAAAAGGCAGATATAACCAGCAATACTTGTAGGATATTAAGTACGGGTTCTTCTGTTATCTGAACATGCTCAAGTTTTACTAAAAATAGACCAACCCTGAYTGAGAAAAGTATGGAATTGCAAATYTGCTACTGAACTCATGCAAAACACAAACCCAGATTCAATGCTCCCTGAAAGCACACATCAGAACATGCTGTTTCTTTCAGGAACTAACAATAAAAACTCTTTTTATATGCTTGTAATACACTTCTAATAAAAGACAAATCTTATTGCTTTCTATGTGATTATATTTACTTTGAGCTATTAAAATAGCAGAAGTTTAACTTACATGAAAGTAAAAAAAACCCTAGTGATTTCTGTGGGATTTCAGACTGGTCTACCCACCCAKGTCTCATTGCAACTTTGATCTCAGTTTAAACTTAATTAGCACAATTTAACAGATTATTCAGTTATTCATGGACTCCCACTGCCTCCTYTCCCAGTCCTTTTTCTTTAGTAATAGCAATGTATACAATTCCATATTCTCATACTTAYTCCCAAAGACCATGACACCTTCTCCATCAGGTAAACACATACCCCATCAGACGTATACAGCCACCACAGCATTAGCATTTGGGGATTTTTATACTACTGGAATGCTGTTTGCCCTGATTTTCTTTTTAATTACACAGTTCCTACTGGCTTTAATTGCAATTGTCATCTTGAATATTGCAATACCTTTTTTTTCCAGGTTGGCTAATTTATACACTCAAAGCATAGACATGATCTTAATAGAGTTATATGACATWATGCTTTTAGTTTCCAATTTAAAGAGCTAACTATAAGGAAAGGAATCTGCAAGCAGCTCTATTAAACTCTTGCACTTTCAGTCCCTTACAGMACATTAATACATTTTATGAGTACAAATAAATTAAAATATATTTATTTGAAACKCTGTGAGGCTTAAACATTTCAATTTTTGTGACAGGCTTTGGCTTATGTGCTACTTGTAGACTATGTCTGATGGAGAACAAGTTCTGAGAAAGACTCTTCGCCAGATAAAACATACTTTAAAGATGGAAATCAACAGAGCAATACCACTCCTGGTACTGAGAAGCACAAAATAATTGGCTGAATTTCCAGAAGAAAGTCTACTCTAACAGCTGAATTAAGTCCAACAATCAACAGGAAGCAACTCTAGAACATGGGAAGGACACAGTGCTCCAGAGAAAACAAAGTGATTAATTACAAGGCATACAAAAAAAACTCTAGAAGAATTTCAAGAGATACAGCAGTTACTTGGAGGTACAGCTYGATATTATGTCTTCCTCCTACCAGTTCACGATTTTTTGCTCTGTATACAATACTGTTCTTTTCAGCACACATTACATTTTATAATACAAAAAACTTTCTACACTTCTCTCTCTTCTCTGACAGTTGTACAAGTAGTACAGCAACAGTGAATGTACTCAGTAGTGCCATAAGAATCATTTGGWCACAGGCAAATTAAACTTCCATGCATGTCATTTGCCTTTCCACTGCTGTTTAGCACCTAAAGAAAATGTGGAAGTTTATTGTTTTCATTAAATTACTAACTTGACTCAAAAATTCAAATAAGGAATTAAGACTTTTTAATACACACATTTATTTTTGTGTCCKATGAAGAAAAAGACCAAGTCAGCTCCAAGACTTACTCAGATCACCTAGATGTTTCCAGATATCATATTCTGTAACCCTGTYTTCCTTCCCATTCAAAACCAACTCGAGTGCCTTCTAATACAGACTTTGAAGTTTTGCTCTACCTAATTAAAAAACATTACTCCTTAGTAAAAGAAGAAAATACTTTTACATCTGGCRTTTCAGTAACTGACTTCTATCATGTACATATTATTCTATCAACTATCCTTTACTGATGCAAAGAAAATAGGTTCTCAAACACCACCAGCAAGACTTAACTGTGTTTTCTGCCTGAGCTTTTCTTCAAAAGACGATAATTAGGCAGATAYAATGGCAAGTCTGTACGTGCAAGCAGTTGCTAAAGGGCATTCAAAAGGAGAATTAGAACATTTTAAACCCTTTTGTAYCAGTGCCAGCAGCTGAACAAACCAAAACCCTAAAACCCGTGGAGGCTCCCTCCCTGCACATTTCCATGGAGCTATCCTGCTTCACTTAATAATCTTCCCTAGCAGGTAACATTCATTCTGAACAATTATTGACCACTATTTCTCTGTAACAGGCAATACAGCCTCTGAAAACTGCAAAGGTCAATCCTCTCACTGAGCATTTGGTCTTAGCCATATGTAATTTCTTTTTTTTTCTTTTTTGGGGACAAATTTCTGATGCAACCAGGAAAAAAAAATAAGCCAAGTTTTGCTTACCTTGCAAAACAGAAATCAAAGAAAAATCAATTGAAAACTTTGTCCTCTCAGGATCACTATCTATTTCTACAGATTAGATATAACAACATTACTTTGCAAGCATTTAAATGAAAAGCCATACAACTTTTTCCAGATAGTTTTTTTTCAAGTAATCTTTGCTCCCTCTCAAATCTGAGATTTGAAAATACATATTTTATTCTTTCTGTATCAAGTACCTAGAAGTCTAATTTTGAAATTGCTGGTYTCATGCCCATCAGCAGTTTTCTACTTAAGCAAAATTTCCTAAGTTTTATTTTAAAAACACAAGAAAATCCCAAACCACTGTGTATTCCMAACACCTACACCTCACATCAAAAGGTTTACCTGTTTCCATTATTTTCAAAAGTTTGTCCTAGCAAAGAAAACACAGCAAACCTCTCAAGAACATTTTTTAGCAACCTCCAATGGAAATTAATGCTGCCTGACCACTTATATCCTAAGGGATTATTCTTGCCATACAGAATATTGGTATTACATTAACCTGAAGAACAGAGCGACTATTTTGAAATACAACAACAGCTTCATGAAGCACCKAAAGAACATATTTAATAGTTTTGCTTATGGGTGGTCCAAGAATTTATATTCAATCTAAGTCAAAGAAATTTGAGCAAGCTGTTTTTTTTTTTTCTTCAATAAGCACTTCTTAAAGTAGCCCAGCCAATTCCAGTAGAGGAGTGCTATTCTCCAAAGAGCAGACAACTGAAAACACTAGAAATTTTAAACAGATTCAGAGACACTSCCCTCCTCATGCCTCCCAAATGAACTCACAAGTGTTTAAGGTAAAAATGTGCTAGACTATGACTTCTTTTTGTCAACACACAAATTTTCACCCTTGCATAAACCCAAATTTTTCTGATGTGCTGAAAAACTTGCCACAATGAATAAGGAACTTTACAAAACCACACAGACTTGACATTCACTGCCCCATATTAACAAAAAACATACTTATCAGTGGAAAAAAAGTAGTATTTTCTAATCCCAGGCACAAAATTATACAWCAGAGATCAAACACTTAAGATTGAACAGGTGAGGTGTTTCATTCTTTCCACAAAGAAGAGAAGTCATGGATTACAAATGGCTGCCATGGGAAACTTTCAAAACCTGTCTGGATAAATCCCCAGCAGCTTTATCTGACCTAATGGCTGACACTGCTTCAAGTAGGAAGTTGGACTAGAKATTTCCTGAGGTTCTCTTCAACTTGAATCATTCCATAGCCCTATGGAAAAATGCACATGCACATTCAAATTCAGCACAAATCCTCTGAAGCACTGGTAATAACTACCAGTTGGAGGAATATAAAGCTCCAAAGTCAGTAAGACAGATACAGTGAGGTCAACCTCATTTAAGTGAGGAATATCAGATCATTATCCTTGGTGGTACCGTAGGAAGGAACTAGAAATGATCAGGGATGGTACTACAGTAACCTTGCCTAAATTCTGACAACTGTACTTACGGCTTTCAGCCCACCACGTAAACATAGACTATAGCATTTTGCATCACATTGTTATAAACTTTTAAACTAGCAATTAGCTGTGGACCAGGTTTTCCTAAAAACTGTATACTAGAAACAAAACTAACAGAAAAATATTTATCTTGTGGATTTGTATGTTTGAATTTAGAAGTCTAACATAAAATGGAAACAGTCAAATCCATTGCAAAAACTCTGTGTAGCACTATGCAAGCTTACAACATCCTTTTCCTTGGAAGTAGTCACTTCCATTAATTTACTGCCCTAATTTCTGTAACAGCACTATTTCCAATACTAATGATGACTCATCCACTACCAGAATGAATTAGCAGGAGTCAGTAAGTCCAGTCCAAGAGCAGAGAAAAAGCAGTAGCCTCCAGGATGAAAGTAACCCTTTACAAAATGAAGATCTGGATGCCACAGGAAGATACTGCCTGCTTCCTACAATCTTCTTCATTCCATTGGCCACACAGGAACGGAATTTAATGTGATTAAAAGAGAATGGAAATGAAATTAACTGTTTTACAGAAGTCTCCACAACAGCTAGGTGTCATTTAGATTATTTGAAGATCTGCAGGTTACTTAGGCTAGGCATTGTTCTCTTTACAGGACTACATTTTCAGGTTTTAAAAGCTAGTTCTAAAAATAAAACCTGTTAATGAAGCATCATCATAACCTCCATTTTTTCATATCCCAGCGGATGTCACACAAAACAATTCAACCAGTAAACAAATGTTTCTACCCATAAAATACTTCGTAAGTCAAAAGCTGTTACAGCTACACATACAGAATGTATTTTGCCACATTACCACCCATTACTATTTATTATGACAAAAACACACCTCAGATATCTTTTTGAGAGAGACAACTGAAAGCTTCATCTTCAATACAATGACAGAGTTAATTGCTGAGGACTCTCCACCATTCTGTTAAAAAAAGTTACTCCTGCTAAATTAGACTAAGACTTGAGTCGCATCACCATTTGCTGAGCCTTTGTCTAGCATGCTTTAGTTTTTGGCAATGCATTTAATCCTCTTCTGTTTGCAGAGAAACTCATCTATGAGTTTGGCAAGAAAAGAGGTATTTCAGAATGAATGCCAGAAGGTAATTTAGAGAACATCTAATTCTCAGRCCCTAACAAGTTGTGTTGTACTGCCTCCCAGTGCTCAGCATCTGCCTGAAGCACAAATGAAATAGGTTGAAGAATCCATTTTAGACATGTAACTACCAGTAATTCCCAAAGGAATACAACTATCTTGGAGGCTGTGCCCAAATCCATTTGTTTTGAAAAATTATAGACAGAACTTAATATGTTAATATAGGACTTAGTTTCACTTTATTTGAAGAAGTTCTGACAGTAAAAACAGAAACCAGGCAAATTCATATGGTTGATCACTTTTTTAYTGAGTACTTGCAGAACATCTTGTATAAGGCAAACCTGGGACAAATCAGGATTTCTAAATCATTGAAAAAAAAATCATTGATAAAAACCTACGAATTTTACAGCAGATAAATTTCGGCAGGAAAAGGAAGAAGTGCTTTTATATTTTATATATAGAATGACCCAAACGAAAGCATTTCAAAGTCAAAATTAAACATGAATATCTATTAATCTCTGTGGGTCTTACAACATGTTCTAAAACATTACTTCTTAGAGAATTCCCTCCTCCAATGCTGTCCATTCAAAACTTTAGCAGAAATAATTTCATAACTGCRTAAGTCAACCTGCCATGTTCATATCTGGCTCCCTGTTTTTTTCATCAGTACAAACACATGAACACTGCATTTCAGAATATACAACAGTCTAAGACACAGATTTACGTTCACTTAAAACCTAGTGTTTAATTTTACTGAGAAGAAGAGGCAGATGCACTTTCTAACATTTTTAAGATTAGCATTGCTCTTGCTAGCTCTTAAAAAAAGCAGCAGGGGCAYTAAGCTGAAGTACAGTTTAGCTAGCTCAAATCAGAGGCAGTTCCCYTATGAGAAAGGTCAGACCTCTGAAACTAAAAGTAAATAAGAGAAAAATTAGTGAAGCAAACAAGCTTGATTTGCTCCTTTGAACAGAATGAAAGAATGACAAAAAGACACAATTTACAATCTAACCCTGAAAATGCTGTTTACAAAAATGGTGTCACAAGCCAAACTTCTGAGAACCATTAGTAGAATGTTGGTAATTTAACTTTAGATATATGGGTAACTGATCCCATTTGTTTGGAGGAACTAATTAACTGGAAACCARTCAGTTTCACAAATGAAACAGAGGAAGGGAAAAACACTTACAGCAGTTGGATCCTTCAAATGGAGCTGAGTTGCTGTCACTTGTTTGAAACCACCAGGATAACTAGAAAAACAAAGCAAACATRCTAGCTTAATTCTACATGCTCAAGCACAACATTAACACAAGTATCACTCTATGTTGAACAATGGTGTAAGGGTATAAGCTTTCAAAAAAATTAGTTGTTCTCATGAGGCCAAAACCTGTATTTTATTTATCCTGTCAACTACCTAACACCATTTGTACTTTCTTATTTATTCACTTGAGTAAGAAAAAGTTTGTGCTTCACAAGCAGATGGATATGTTTTTAAAACTGCTTCTTAAATACACCATAATAATACACTATAAAATACAACAGCAATAAGACATGCAGAACTCTGAAATATTTCCAGATGATCAAGACTCACAACCAGTCTGTGGCTGACTTATAAGACATAAATTTTGAACAGTATTTATTATCTTCTTGCTATTTTAAATAAACCTTAGCAAGACTTGGCATATCTATAGTAATAAAATTTTACTTTTACTGCCATGGATCCCTCTTTCTAAAGCCTATGTGACATGCTGAAGCTGCACTAATTCAGATTTATGCATAAGCCTTAAATRGATGATAGCATGGACTAAAAAATTASATGGAAGTCAGGTAAAGCTGGRCTTCATTTTGACTGAATTACATTAYTAGGAATCAGCCGMCATGAAATGAAAAATGAAAATAAGMACAGCATCATTAAGRTAAGTCCACTGAGCTGCATGGGTTTAAGTATGAGTTTTAAATGTACAATTCTTCTCCCTTACTCAAAACCAACACAGGTACTTATGAAAGTGCTTTAATTTACAAGTAATTTTCTAGAAAAAAWTTTAAGAAGTCATAGGGATGGTGGAGAAAAAACAAAGCACACAATAATTTCCAACAACTCTGAACAAGAATTTCTCAGCAATTCAGCAATTTCAAGACTGCACCATTAGCACTAGCAAAATTAGCTTTCTCAATGTGATTATTCATCTCCCAGCTGGATACATTTTGACACTTAAGAGTTTATTATCTAGTAGCATCATTGTATCAAATATGAGCAATGAACTGATCAACACCCTGTCTGCAGCTGATTATTGCACTCTACTGTAATCAAATTCTGTCTGCCAGAACAATATACTGTACACTACTGTATATAACCATGTACTGTACATCAGTACAGCTTGAAAGCATTTCATTTTTTAATACTTTTTCCAATTMTTTTCATCCTCTGATTCAATATTTATTGTTAGGTAAACAGGTATTGATAGGATAAAGTAATTAAAGTTGGTGACTACATATAAATTGTGTACTGTCAACAGAAATATTTTCCATTACATAGTAAAACAGAGGAGTCCAGGGTCATTGGGTCCAGAGGTTTGCACAAGACACAACCTGGCTCACCAAATCTGTCAACTTATTCAATTGCTCTGACTATTTCTGAGTTATTTTCCTAACAACATTCACTGGGGATTAAAAAAAAAAAAGCGAAAAGAAAGAAAAGAGAAAAAATGGAAGAAAATAGCAATGTAATTTTAACATTGTAACAGACGCAAACAAATAAAACTCAAAGGTAAGTAGGAATTCCCTTTTGAACCAACGTGACTTCAACTATTAATAAAACATGACATTAAATTTACCACAAACTCATCTGATTATTTACTRTAAAGCTTACCCAGTATGTGAAGAATACACTTTCTGTTCCCATTTGTTACCAGAGAAGGCAATATGTCTTGTATTTATTATGACAACATGATCTCCACAGTCATCTACATTGTAGAAATAAGTGAAAAACATTAAARAATACCATAGGGGGAATCAACCAAAATAACACCTATTATGTGTGCAATACATACACAGTAGCATATAAATACACCTTTCATAAAGCTGAAATTTAAAGATCTCAGCTTTTTGAGACACGCCATCCAAATCAGCAATTAAATATCAACCATAATTACTATTTTTAGCACTRTCAGGTTAGAAGGTAGGTGATCAGGTAAGATACCATCAGGGCAGATGATTAAACCATTACAATTATTCAGTTAAGATCTGGAAATCTGACTTACAGGCAAATTCCTACTCTATTCTATCCAACACATTATGCTGCATATGCACCCATATTCAACCCACCCTCCCCCAGAAAAYAAAAAGTAAGTTCCAAATGATCCTAAATATTTGTTTTATTTTCCTTTTTAAAAAACCAGTATCTATGTTTACTGAACATTTCGAGTAAGTACACTCTCAGACTAAATATGTAAAAGAAACAAAAATATTGCATTGGGGGAAGTACAGGTGAAAAAGGTCCTTAAAAAAACCCCAACAGCTATGGGGGGTTAAAAAAAAAAAACCTACACATTTTCATCTATCAAACAGAAATGAATGTTACAGCACATACTAAAAAAATGCAAATGAAACCTGTATTATCTCAAAGATATCACATAAATATGAGAAAAGATGTAGTTTTTCAATTCAGAAGTCATGATCATGATCAGCTGTATAACCTATAACCACACAWTCAAGTAAAGCCAAAATGATTTGTCCAAAGTTCAGTCTCATTTGCATCACCATATTAGAACACAAGAATTTGAGGGGGCTCACTTGATTAAAACATTTTTGAGTAGGTAACAAAGCAGCTATACAAAGCAGGGCTTAAACTGAGCATGCATTTTTTTATAGGAGCATGCAATTAATCAGAGCAAGTTTCATACCTTATTTAAGTTTTTTATTACTTTTTAATCTTGTGTTCTTTTAAAGCTCCACTTTCAATTACAGCTGAAGTGCAAACACAATTTACACACTTGCTGCTACAGTGTTTCACTGATGACAGTTCAGTTCTAAAAACACTGTATGACTACATAAATATCAGGGAAGTGACACTGACATTCATGGGTTTTTGGCTTTTTGGTTGGAAAGATGACAGAATAAGCTTGTCTAAGAAAACTTCTGCCAACAGTTCTCCACTTGCATGARCACTGAATTAACAAATACCAAATTTAAAACAACAAAAAAATTCYCCCTGATGTTATTCTGTTTAAGGAGCTGCTATCTCATGGATACTACAATATTTGTTAGTTCAAAAAAATAAACAAGAAGCATCAAGTACATCAACCACATTTTCCTGCATAGTTTGCTCTCCAAAATGTCTCAGTAGTAGTAACCAACCTATTGATGTCAACCTGATGTGTAAAACATTTAGTGCCAATTTACAGAATACTTAAATCAAAGTTATCCTTGAAATGATTTTCCAAGACTTTAGAACTTAACAGACATAAAAGTATCAAAGTTCTTTCCCACAGGACAACCAAAATATTTCCTCTCCTGTCTGCTGTATTTCTCAAGACAGCCTTAAGTCTCCAGTGACATCTTCTGGACGTAACAAAATTTACAACAGAAAAACTGACATTTGAAAGTCTTTACAACACTACAAATCCCACCTTCTCTTATGAAACAGATCGAATATAATTTTAGTATGTACACTTCACATGTATGAGAGAGCTTTAAGGGCTCCTATATGTTTCAGTAATGTCTCTGGAAAAATTTGCATGGATATTATGGGAAACGTTGTACACAGTGGTATAAAGGACCGAGTTTACATTATTTATAAAATCATTATCCCCCTGAGACAGGCATTACAACATTACAAGTAATGAAAACCAGAAAAACAAAATTACAGTTTTATTTAAACAAGGTATCTTTCAACAATGATTGTCTCCCATTTAAGAATCAGACAGGTCTCAGCCTCCTCATCACAGAGTGTGTGAGGCAGGAASGGACTCTGAAAGTCATGTTATCCAAATCCCATCCTCAAAGCAGGACCAGCTTTTGAAAATCTCCACGGATGAAGACTTCACAACATCTTGGGCAACGAACTTCTAGTCACTCTCACAGTAAAAAATAAGTTATCTGATGTTTGGAGGGAACCTCCTGTGTTTCAGTTTGTGCCCACTCTCTCATGAAAACGTAACTTCTTTGCACCTTATTCAGARTGAAGAAGCACTACAAGATTGTGGTGCTGTGCATCTACTGCACTCAGATGTTTCATTATGTGAATTGTGAACTAAATCTTTACATCTAAGATCGACAAAACATGTTCTGAGGTTTTTTAAAAAGTGAAAGAACAACCCACTGTAATTCAGCTACTCAAAATGAATTATAAATTCGTAACATCCTTTATATATATATTGGTAAAGAAAGAACATTAGGTTGTGGAGACGCATGACAGAAAAAGATAAGAAAGAAAACCAATTCATTTATAATTTGCAAACAATTGAGAAATGTAACTTTTTACATCAGGCATGATTTTAAAACTGAAATTGGAAGAAACATGCACATGAAAAAGTTGCTTTCATCCACTGTAATACTCACTTAGTGCATGATAAATTGGTTTATGTCTGCCTTCAAGTCTGATTACAGTGGCAGCTGCTATTTTTCCTGGGGGCTGCATCTTTGCATCGAGGAGGTACCAGGCTCTGCCAAAAGTAGCCCATTGCTGAAAAGAAAAAGGGTCAGTACTTGTCATCTTTAAAGCTCACATTACCATAATCTAGCCTCCTCAATTAGATCAACATTTCTTTTACATTCAAAAATACCAGAAGAAAGATTAATATTCAGCACTACCCCCTTCAAATAACCTTTAAATGGACGGAGCGGTGCGATACACCCACTGCAGTTCGACGTACACGTGTAACATGTAAACAAGGCCCTTAGGGCTTTGTTTCAAAAATGCAGATCTCCTGCYGCAAGCTTCCATTATCGCTGCTTGAACTGTAACATCCCTTCAGGACATTTACTGCCCAAGGTCTCCGGCCCTGCCGGTGAAGGGCACAGCTGGCCCACACGCAGCTTTCAGACCGCGCACAGCCCGAGCGGCGGGATTCCCTGTGTCCCGGACATGTCGCACACAGCGCTTCCCGGCAGCGGCACCCTCAGGACGAACACGGGGGGAGCCCCGGGGCGCTCTGCAGGGGGCCTATGGACCCTCCATGCCCGCCCGCTCCCTCACGGCGCCGGGGTCCTGTCCCGAGGCAGCGAACGCCCCGCCCCGCCCGGCCCGAGGGGAGGCCGCGCTCACCTGGGCCGCCCGGGTGTAGCTCGCCATCCCGGGGAGCGCACGGAGCGCACGGACCACAGACGGTGCACGGAGCGCAGGAGGTGCCGCGGCCGCGGGAAGCGGAAGCGCTGCCCTGTGAGGGGCGGTGCCCGGGCGGCAGCGCGGGACCTTCGCTTTGGCCCGGCCCGGCCATGGAGCGCTACCTGCTGCTGCTGAGCTGGGCCGAGCGCCGCGCCGAGGGCGGGCCCGCGGCAGCSACCGCCGCAGGTACCGCGGGGACGGGGCTGAGGCCGCGGGGCCCGGCGGGCGCTGGGCGAGGGCGGGCGGGCGCTGCTCCGGTGTCCGCGGGGCTCTTCTGGCTCCCGCCTCTCTAAACACCCCTTYGCTTTCAGGCTGAAAGTCTTTGGTGCCTTTAACATGCAGAAACTCCGGGGGGTTCCTGCGTTGTTGCGAGGCTGACTTTGTTCCTGAGCATGACTTAAAGGAGGACTTAGGAAAATCTGTATTTTTAAACTGCAAATCTGCAGGTGACAGTTCTCTTAAAGAACCCAACCAAGCCTTTTCCCCCTTCTCCTCTAAACTTACCTTCTAATATCACACTGAACTTTACACTGTATTTGCAGGAAAGTAAGATTTAACTTCCTTAATTCAGTATTTTCAAGAAATACTTTTTTTTTTTCTTTTTCCTAGCTGGGACTGCTGCAAACATGTATCAGTTCCTGAAAGAAAGCTGTAGTGGATCTATAAATGCAGATGTGAGCACATTCCCAGGTAAATATGGCAATGTACAGTAAGGTAAGGCAGATGTTATCAAGGAATTGGCCTATGCATGTTTTATTAGGGGAAGCAAGTTAGAAATTTAAGTAAACCCAATTGCTGTGGTGTGGGCCTGTTCCTGCTTCTCCTGTTCCTGTGGAGAACTTGTGTCATTTCAACAGCTAAGGTGTTAGRAGATGATTAGATAGATTGGATACGAGAAATGAAAGGGAAGAATTTTGAAAAATTGATAAATTTCAATCCAGTTGAGCAAGRAAGAGTAGAAATTTTAATTATTTTAATTACGCCTATAAATTTTTTCAGTGGAAGCAATACTTGTCTGTTGGATAACAATTCAGAACCTTAATCCATGTATAGTAAACCATTTCTTAGAATAGATTTCTGAAGATCTGCTTTGATACTTTTAGAGGCTGGGTGTTTGTGTTTTGTTGTTTTGTTGTTTTGGGGTTTTGGGTTTTTTTTTTTAAATGCTTCCTTAGTTCTTTACTTGGTTTGGATATCTACTATTATTAGCTTGTCACAGATATCATAATTGGGATTCATGTGGGAAAAACACTATAAGCTCTTAAAATTCACAAAGATGGGAATGTTAAGTTGTTTTCAACATCTGTGCTCTTTACTGCATAGAAATATTGATAGAGCATTGCGTTTTGTGAATTCTGTAAATCATATTTATCAAAGTTGTAATTTATTTCAGGTATGGTACAGATTATGCTAATAGAAAACTATTACTCAGAGTAGAGAAGAAGTCAAAGATTTTCTTCTTAACAGTCAGGGGGTCAGTAGTGGATACTTGCCAAGAGACTTATCTACACCTTAATATGTTTAGAACTTAATTACGATGCCGAAAGAAAGTAGAACTCAAGTAATTGTTGTACATTTAAATGACTTACAAAGTCTTTCAACAGTGATGTTCATTATAATAGGAAGAATAGATTGTAGTGAATTGATTAATTTAAATGAATGTTTTATCTGTTTGCAGCATGCTCAGTGGCTGGTATTCCAGGTGCCAGGAAATGGTATTTTGCAAGTCATGTCATTTGTGGTTATTATCAGGTAAGACACAATTTTTTTAGAGTGTAAGTTCCTCAACCATCTGCCTGTCTGTAGAACAAGCTAAAACTGTGATGTTCAAAATTCTATKTCCTTATTTAAGTTTTTCTGTTTGATTAGTTCTGCAGTTCTGACTGGGAGGAAATAAATGGTGACACACAGAAAAATGAAGACTCTCAYGAAACAAGCATTGATGAGAACCTGGGAACAATACAAAATTTTGAGGAAGATGACAATAACAGTCGGGAGTCACTGTCTCTGGCTGAGTATGTGCATTATTATTTTCACTGAAAGTATAGTGATCTGRCATTTAACCATAGGGAGCTAAGGGGATCAAGAAAATGTAACAAGTGRGAGTTACTACCAAAGGAAGAGTTAAATATGAAAATCCCCGACTAATACTGAAAATGCTTTTATTTTCAGTACCTTTATTTTTTTTTGTTACAGATGATTTTTATAGGAAAACTGAACATTTCCTAACAGCTAATGTTATATATACAAAAATTTCTTGCTAGTTCCCCTTAAATCCTACTTCCAGTTTTACAGCAGATAATTTTGATGTCATTAGGCCTTTGTTTCTAAATGAATTTATGTTTTGGTTTCTAACATGTTGTTCTTCATTTTCAGTATGTATGATGAAGCTGCTGAAAGTCTACATCAATTAGCTGATAAACTACCTGCCCCAGGTAATCTGTCTTTAAAAAGCAATCTCATTGGAGTTTATCTTGTTAGATACAGCKCTAAAAACTCATCTGGTAAAAGCACAGTAAATGGAAAAGTTCAGAGGATGTTAGTTTGGTAGCTGAATTAATGCAGCTCTCGCAGTTCAGGAACTTGAGCATTGCAGATCAGCTTGAGGAATAGTTTGCTGCCTGTTTCTTTGGCAGGCTGTATTTCAGTAGAGTTTTAGGTAGTTCTTTATATAATAAATATATCCATCTGAAATGGCAYCAAGGTAGTCATAGACAGCAATGCAAAACTCAACACAGAAAGTTTCTTACTAAAAAAACAGGAAGATGTTGACATTTTGGCTTTTTTATGWTTTGACAGCAGATTGCTTGCATGTAGAAGCCAAGAAGATGAGAAGGAAAATACATCAGAACTGTTGGATTTTGATTTTGTAAACTGGAGATACATGTCATCTTAGCATGTTAGACATATATAATGTTGCAGAAGTTGATTTGAGATAACATAGGAATGCAAGATGGAAAACCAGCAGTTTAGAGTGTTAAAAGTAGGAAAAGGACAGCTTAGTTGTGCAGGAGACAAATCTCATCTGTCAGCGCTAAGTGAGAAAGGAGAAAGGTATTGAACCACTGTCACTGAGGGAAGGGTGAAATATTTTGTGTTTATCTAAGAGGAGCAGGAAGAGATAATTTAAAATGTGTGAAAAGTGGTTTAAATCTTGAATTTACTTGATCTTTTTGCCTATTTTAGTGAATAACCAATACTATTCTATCTTTGAATGACTGAATAATTTACTGGATCATGATACTTTGAATCATACACAACTCTTTTGTAGGCAGAGCAATGGTTGATGTAATCCTGCATGCTGTTGAACAAGATGGACCCAAATTGAAAGACTGCTTACCTGCTATTGGTGCCCTGAAACACCTGAGAGAGTGGCACTCTGCACAGATCACTATTGCAGCAAGTGATGCTAAAGGGTATGGCATTTGTTTCAGGCCTAKAAACAAGATCACTTCTCTTTTGTGTTAGCATAGATCAGTGGTTTAAAATAAAAACAGCATATTGGGAACRCTACATATAAATCTGGAAAATACATAAATTACTCCTCTATTGTTGTATTAGGTGAGGAATTACTCATCCTGATTTATTATAAAAGCATATCCTAACCCAAGAAACAGGCAAGAAAGCAAGTCCTCTGCAGTTCTTCTTTTCTGTGGGAGCAAAGGATAAACTATTTCCTCTTCCCTTTGCATTGAGTGGTTTCAGTGTGCATACAATGTTTTCAAATTGTGTTGTACTACACAATAACTTGTATATTGATTGTGGTTTTCCAGATTTTTTTAATGAATCCGTATTACTGCTGGTTTTACTTTAAATTTTGTTTTACCTTTGGTATTACATTTCAGAGAGAAAAAGTAGAGTCCCTGATTTTTCCCTTTTAAAAAAGGACAAATTATTCTATTACCTTCTGTATGCCTTTCAAGATTCTGTTATTATGAAGAGTAACTGAGACTATTAATTCAAGTTGAAATTAAGTCCAGTAATTTCCTTACTGTCTTCATCTAATTGGCATATAAAATCCATTATATGTCTCAACACGTAAACATCAATGTTTTGGGGTTTTTTTTTAATCCCATCCAGTAAATGACTGTGTGGATACTGAATAAATTRACATGGTCTCTTCCACTTTCCTTCTCCTTCATGCCCAAAAGATTCAAATTTGCTTCATAGAATATGTGGTTAAGCTTAATCATAAATTAATARAACTGTTTAAAAAGGTGAATGTTCAGTCCTTGGATAGAATAAGCCCTATCACTACTATATAGTATTTCCTGAGTTATGTGGAGGACAAGAAACTTAACTGCAATGACTTCCGTGAAAACTTGATCTCAGTGCCCATTGATATAATCCTGTGGAACCAGCTTTTGGCAGAATAATTCTTTCTGCTGCCTTTTATGTAAAGTGAGGTTATTTGAGTATAGAGTATCTCTGATGAAAGTTATTTCGCTTATTCTTCCTGTTCTGCTGATGGTGCTGATTTCTGCCAGCAGAACCTGCAAATACTGACTGTTCTCTCTCTTRTTGAATTTGGACCATGCTTTTGCTGCAGTCATCTCCTCATATAAGGTTAGCTACAAACCATCCTGGTAGGCCAGTGATAGCCCCACTGATGGCTACCAGGCTTTGCTGCAGCTTCTAGCACCCAACYTTACTATGTTATGCCTGGAGCTTGCCATTGCCTGTCCTATTTGATGTCAGCCAAAATTCTCTGCTGTCACTTTCATGGAGCATATGRATAGCTTCCTTCACAGAGCCTGAACAGCAATTCTGTAATATTTTTCACTTTGTGGAACTTTAAGCCTTGTTGTCTGTCTTGACGTACACAAGACAGTTCAGTGCTAGGAGCTCACCTGTAAAGTCAGTCAAACTGCACTGCAGTTAATGTTAATTAACATTAACAAATGTTAATTTGTAATGCTAAATCCAGTAAGGTAACCCATCTTTTTACAGTGGCTGGCAAAAGATTGCAGAATATCTATCAGCAGACTTCGTGTCTTCAGATGATATCATGAGTATTATTGATTTTAAAGAACTCTGGAGAGGAAAGATTCAGATATGGGAAAGAAAGGTAAAATAATTTCAGCTGTGGTTRTTTTTTAAAGCATGTGTGTACCTCATTCAACGCATGTAGTGCCTTTTCTGCTTTATGTCAGATTTGGTTTTGACTATAATTCAAAGGTGAAGTGCAACATTTCTGGGTGGGTGGCAGGATGAAATATTAAATGAGATCGATGTATTAAKATCTGAATTTCAGAAATCCAGATGCTTCCCTCTGAAATATTTGTCTTGGAACTTACTGTTCAAAATTAGAATGTTCTGTATCTATCAAGAATCATTGTCATGTAGTTGTAAGTCACTGTTACAAGCATATGTAATGTTTCTGCARAAACTGAGAGCTTTGTGACATTTTTTACATTTTCAGTATTACAGTTTTGGATTTATTAGTTGGTTATCTAAGTCTAGTATTTTTTCTTGGTTTTACAGATCTGATGGAAGCAAATAAGATACTAATTGTTAAAAATAAAACATCTAACTGGATAAAGAGAAATAATTTTTATCTCTTTTTGACACACTGTCTTTTTTTTTCCAGTTTGGATCGGGAGTAGACTTTCCAGAATTTTGTATAAAGAGCACTTCAGCCAAGACRTTCAGCACTGTAAATTTAAGTTCTTGCTTTGCTGTTAAAAAAGAGTGGCAATCGAGGAATACTGATGCATTGCCAGAAGCAAGTATTATTCTTGATCTTTTTTTGAGTCTTAACATTCATCTGTTTTACTTTCCTGAGAAAATTAGTAATTGGGGAATTTTTAGTCAGAATTGAAAGTTAAATATAAAAGTAATGGTTAAGATTGAGGAATACTTTTGTTCATGTGTATTCTCAAAACAGGTCCTTAAAAACAAAATCATTTTGTTCTTAGGAATACATTACAGTTTTTTTTTCAAGCAGAAATTGAGAATTTTTTCAACCTTAATACTCAAAAGTATCTAAATTATGAGTTCTGTATTTATGTAACCTTTTCCACTTAATTTTAAAAGTTTATTTGGGTTTGTTTATTTTTTCTCACACTGTTGCTGTTTCATGTTTTCTGCGGGAAGTAGATAATTGATGGGAACTCCACAATCATAAATATTGATATAAACAAAAATGAGCATTATGAAAATTGGTATCAGTTTAGAGTTTGTTATTTCCATTTAAAAACATGTGTATTTTGCATTGCATTTGTCTGTTCTTGGTGGATCTTATTTTAATTTGAGTAAGAGTTAGAACTCATTTGATGCASACTGTTGATAGTCTACAAAATCAGATTTATTAAAAAAATTAAATGCTGTCCTTGTTTATTTTATTATTTAAAACAGGATATTGTAAGATGTGTTTGTATTCCTTTATACCTCTTTCAGATGTTTTCTGTAAGGCTAATGCCTCCAGCAAAACACTTGAGGAAGATCTGCTGAGATGACGTCATATATAGCGTTACATGTAAAGGTTTTTATTCGATCTCTTTTCAGGTTTTTCATTACTATGGTCCTGCACTGGAATTTTTGCAGATGGTGGTGCTCTCTGATCTACCTTCCATTTTTATATCAGATCTGGAATTTGAGCTGTATCCATTTTTTAAGGATCTGAACATCTACTGATAATTGTCTATAGCAGAAGGAAAACAATCTAGGTCTACCCATGCAAGCAACAGCTAGATCAGGATAGGCAAGGGCTCATTCCATTCTAGCCTGCCAAAATAGTCACAGTGATTCTTCACAAATGGATTTTTTAATTTTGGAATTTAAATTACAATGGCAATAAACAGGTGTTGATGATATTATTGCACATATAATTTGTCTATTGATGTGCATGCTATTTGTGGGAGAAGAATGGGAAAATCTTTATTCTGTGTAAGTTTAAAAAAAGGTCAAGCCATACTAATGAATGAATGTAGCATGCTTCACAATATAGGAACATTTGTCTACAAATCGTGTATTTACTGTGCAGTGAAAATATCTGTGGCAAGGTGTAGCAGAGGAGTTTTCTTTTGAATGTGTGTGTGCTGCAGAGAACTCAAGGTGTATTACTATTGGTTTTTAAAAGTATGTACTTTTGGTACTAGTCTTGGTGTACCAATAGTACTTTAGGATGTGTAAGGCTGCCATGATTCTGAATATATAAATRTTTGTTTCTGTCGGCTGTAACAGAGATGTCAGTAGAGTATTTTATCGTATAACATTTTCAACTGTATCACTTTACCTGGAAAGGTGAGATTTTTATRTTTTGTGATACTGTAGTATCAAAAATCAGATACTTGCAGAACTTCTTTCAAATATGATGGTAACTTGATTTATGAAATAGAGTTGCATAGTTCTTTGTGAAGATGAGGTTCCTTAAAACATTCTATTCAGGAGCCTGTCAAGAAAGCATACCAAGGAGGCATCTGCACTACTTTTGGACCAAATTTCTTCTCTCTCTGGGAAGGTAAAAACTTTTTATTTATGTATAGCAGAAAAATAAGGTATATATATATTCCTTATAATATATATTATAAGTAATATATATATTATAATATATAGTAAGAGTAATGCTTTTAAACCTAATCTCTATGTAAGCTTCTTCAATATTTAGTTCTAAAGCAAATAGGATTTTAAAGGTGCATGCTGAACGCTTTTCAATTTATCTCAGCTAAGTTTCAATCTCCTAAAACATTGTCTAATTTTTAATCCTATCCTGACAGATGATTTCTGTGCTGTCATAATTGAACTATTGATTTATRTTAGCAAAAGGCAGGCATGTGTGCAGCCTGCAAAATATATCTAGCTACTGTGAAATAGCAAGCTTTTTTATTTTACATGTCCATATTCTGATTTTTGATGAAAAGAATTCATGAAACATTTACAATCCTACTTTTTCTCTCCCCACTTTATCTTGGGATGATAGTGAGATTATTTATAGCTACAGTTTAGGGAAGTTTTTTTAGTAGTTATAAAAGAAATTGATGTAAATTAAAACAAAACAGTTTGTGTGTAAATGCTGTGTAAATACTGAAACAGTTATTATGAATAACATACATTCTTTATTTACTGTGGAGATGATATCCCATTATCAGGCTGTATGTTTCATTTTCAGTTTGTTATTTGGGTTTTTRGTTACTTGTTTTCTCCCCTGCTACTCCATTCTCCATTATGCTTAGCCAGAAAAGGATGCTGTACCAAAAAGATGTTGTAAAATGGTTTTATATTGATAAATATAATTAGGTAATTMTATTTAATTTATAACTATAAATTAAATTATTAATTTATATTTAWTTATTTATTTAWTTATTTAAATTAATTAAATTATAATTTAATTTAAAATAATTATTTAATTGTTAATTAAATATTAATTTATATTTAATTTATAACTATAAATAGGTAATTTTCATTTTACTAAAGGACACTGAACACTTGGTCAAACACATTTTTTTGTCTAAGGGTTTGCATTTCTAGTTTTAAGGAAGAAGACRAAACAGTTAAAACACGTTCTCAGGTTACTTTTTAGAGTCTGCACATGTTAAATTGAATATATTTGGAAGATAACAGTTTCTCATAGGGATTTTTTTTCASTCTGCTGCTGGAAATACTGCACATTTATAGGCTTTTGTAAAGCAGTAATGGCGTTGTTTTATTGCTTGAATATTCAACTATGTATGCATAGTTGTTAGTGCTTATTTTTCTGTTAGTGCTTATTGGACTGAAATCTGCATAGAGGTATAAACATAGTCCAGTATCTGGTTAAGGGATAAGGGTAATGTGTAGGAAGGAAAAGGAATGMAGAGCCAGCTATTATCTTTGAATCCTCTTTTCATTCTGGATACTACTGTACAAAAGTGTTTGTAGCCAGGTTATTGAGAGACTTGCAGTACATAAAAAATTCCTTTTTATGTATGAAATGGAAATTCAGCAGTTAATTATCTCTCAACTGGACCGCAAAGTAAACACAATTTTTACAGCTTTTTTGTCAAATGCTGTTGCATTTTGATTGATATGAATGACAGTTGTGTTACTTTTCTTCAACTGAAGTAAATTTGAATTAATGCCAAATCACTAGCTCGAGAATAAAATGTAAAAGAGGTTTCACTAATATTGAATGTCTTGTATTTGCTCTTGTTTTTCAGGTGGGAGCTTTATTTACATTGCCATGTAATGTAAGCAGTGTAGTGATCCCATCTCCTGCCCAACTGAGCACCAAGAAGTGGAAGGAGTATGTGGCTAAGAAACCCAAGGTCATTACTGGTATGTGTTCTTGTGTTTATGTGTGTGTGTGTGTGTGTGTGTACGGTGTGGTATGGTGAGTTTTTTCTTTATTTTTGGGATTCTCTTTTTAACTTCAATGAAATGAAGTTACTGATCGTAATATTCATTGACACAAGAAGATTTGGTGGATGCAAGTTCAGCTGTGCAAACTTGTAGGRAAAAAAAATGATAACACTATGGCAAGCTTTAGGGAAACAAGGCACCTTTAAACCATTTTTGTGTCCTGTCTGTCAGCTAAGATCCAACTTCCACACATCTTGCTGAGGTGATCCTGAAATCTATGGACACAGAGGTTTACTTTCGCAGATGGCAATTTGAGTGTGCCTYACAGAAGTGCTTCCCTACACATTAAGCATTTCCAGAAGTTCTTCAGTGCACTTGCATTTAATTTCAATCTCCTCMTGGGAAAATACAGAATATTAAGAAATGCTGAATACCTGCATTCACCTCAGAGTCAGTGCAATTAAGAATGTGCTCCTTCCTTATGGGGCTGTACTGATGGCAGTGATTCCTCTAATGCACTGTGCCAGTGTTTAGAAATCTGATTCAGAAAGTGATAGAAGAGAATCAGTGCAGATCAAGGCTGGGGGAAATTTCTCAGTTAGCCTGTAAATGTGCCCTGTAAGTGGAGGCAGTGTACACACAGTGACTGTGAAGTTTGTAGGCACTTGAAAATGACAGGCTGAAAGGAACTTGGTTGTATCTCAGTGCTTAAAGTGCTTACCTAGGACAGGATTAGGTGCTGGTTTGTGCCTTCTTTCATGATCTCATTGTTTGTACATGTGATTCCAAGAAACACATGTACATTCCAAGTAAGGGTGACTATTTCTGTTGCCAACTCCGGRTAACTCTTTTTAAAAAGTATGCAGATGAGGATGGCTCCTATTGATGACTGATATTATTTCAGGTTTAGGGACAGGAAAAAATTGAGATGAGTTAGGAAGAGCTGTGCAACAGGACAAGAAGCTTAATTATTATGGAACAGGTGCTGGCAGTATATAGAGTTAAAATTATCTCTGCATGTTTAGAAGTGATAGACGGAGTGTGATTATAAAGCTGGTCACAGCAGTAGCATTTTGCTTATTAGAGGGATACTACTGATGCAGTTACATGAGCATGAGATCCCCAGTGTCTCAAGATCCTTGTGCTGTGCTCCAGTGGAAAGGTTTTGTACAAATATTAACTATTGTGTCATCAGTAATACACAAGACGTTCTTATTTAGCTTGAGTAAAATTTAGAAGAGGAGGAGAAACAYAGTCATTTAAATGTATTTTCTTGTTTAGCTGATTTTTTAGTGGCTACCACTAGTCCRACTGTACTAAGGACTTGTGAATCCTTAATCTCTTCCATCTGTGGGAAAGTAGCATTCTTGGAATTGGTAGTTCTCAAATGCTAAGATTAAAATGAGAAATAAAAGCTTACCCAGGAGGAATCAACTTTGAGATGCCAAGATAAAATAGAAAAGGAATATATTTCAAAAGACATGGGGAACAGGAAATACTGAAAATGTTTCTGGAATCGCTTTTTCTTTATTGTACTTTTTTCTTTCTCTGAATTTATATATTGAGTGTGTAATGGAGTTTCTTCCTCTTCCTTGTGTCCAACTTAAAATTTTCTAGAAACACTGGAACATTTTATACTTGTTGCTAACAAAAATTTATGATACTAATAAATTCTAAGTTTCTGTTGAGTTAATTATTGAGACAGTGCTGCAGGTATCTTACAAAATTGAAAAATTTGACTTTTAAAACTTAGTACATCAAGAAGTATTCATTATCTTGATTGCTGTGTCTACCAAGGTGCTGTAAAATGTTTTCTGTGTAAAAAGATAGCAAACCCATCCTTTCACTGTTACTGTCAGGTCCTRTGTTAATTTACTTTCAAAACTGCATGCTATATGCCAGTGTTTAAAAATAGAATGTCTTTATCTCTCATCCAGGCACAAGGGTAAAGCAGGGAGCAAAGCTTTTATTAATGAATAATGCAGTGTCCTTGGGAAGAGCATGTGCAATATTTCCTTTTCTTCTACAGTTGTATGTTGTTCCACTGAACACTTACATTATTACAGTGCACATATGCAAAAAGGCCTGGTTTTACCTRGCAGAACAGAAACTTCTCTTCTTTRTTTCAGGGTGAAAATGTAGCTTTGGCAGTTAAAGGCTTGCCYGTTACCTGGCCCAGATAAAGAACTTCTCTTGGCTGGTGCTTAGTGTTTCCAGATGTACTTTGTAACCTGCATTATAAAGCTGCCCCTCACTGCAGGATTGCAGAGCTGGTTTTTGGGTACCGCTTCAAGCCAACAACATAGTCCAGCTCAGCTTTGCTCCTGTAGATAATCTGTTTTACTCTTCAGTTTGCAGCTTTGCAGGGAGCGAACATCATCAGTACTTACTGTGAATCCTCAAAAGATATTAAGATTTTTAATRGAACAGAATAGCAAGTGGGAGAGTTTTGATGGTGGATTATTATTMATTTTAAAGTTGTTTTCCTGAGGGTGTTTCATAGTTATGCTCTGATGTTTATTAAGTTCCAGAAATTGAACTGAAAGGAGAATCTTGCCGATACTACTTCTTGCTACAAAGCAATGGCTCTGGAGGATGTAAAGCAACCTTGATTCATTCAGCTGGCCAGGTCAATGGGATGGCTGCTCTTGCTGCAGTAAATGGAAGGCTAAAGGCGAAAGCAGAAGAAACAGAGTCAAGTAAGACTAATTATTTATTTAAGAGTATCTGAATGCAGGCAAATACTACTAAATGTCATAAGTTTCTTTTATTCACTCCAGTAACTTTTTAARGGGAGAAAACAGGGAGGAATATTACATTTTTCATGAAAGTCTCTATTAGCAATATTTTTCCAAATCGGTCAGAAAATCAATAAGAGTTTATTTATCCACAGAATTTGCTGCTGTTGTATTTTTTTAATTCACTATATGAAGTTATTGTCAGTCATTTCTCATAATTGAGATTAGTTGAAAATCATTTATTGTGAAGGGACATACAGGTAATACTAGTGCAAAACAAATTTGTGAAAGCTTAAAGTTTAAAAAGTATGTATTCTTGGTGTGAAAACTGACCAGCCCATGCCAAAAATCTAGGTAAATCTCTTGAAAATCCCGTTTCACTCATGATTTAAAATAAAAACKGCAAGGCCTGTAGGCAAGTTGAGTTTCATTATCACCTTCAATTCCTTTGCAGATGTTTAGGTTACTGCAGAGTGTTTAGGATATGAGCTGGCACTCATATCCTAACTGCTGCACTAAGGGAGAGCAGGTATGCAGACATTTRTCATGGATAGGGGTCATGTTACAGCTACACCTCCTAGAAAACTCTACTAATTCCTGTATTTGTTTCAATAACACTGGCAAAGAAAAGGAGCACAGTGACCTGCATCTTATGTGCTTAATTCCTTATTATCGAAATAAATCTGTGTGTGATATGACTGACTACTCTGCCATTTATCCTAATTAAAATCCCATTAGTACAGTGTCAGAAGACTGAAAGTCCTTGACCATATGTTGGGTGAAAACTTTCCTTTCCTGTGATCAAACTTAGGTTCTTTTTATCTTCTTTAAATGTTAGTGATGTTAATTGTGTTGCCATTATATTGGTTTTGTACAGAAATTAAAAAGTACTAGTCAGGCAGCACTTCCAAATTATCCTCCTGGTGCTCAATTGGAATTGATTTCTTTGTTGTTTTAATGATGTGCCATTTTTGAAAGTCTGGTTGTTTCCTTTGAGTATGAGATTTTTATGTTTTCTATGTTTGTCTTCTTCTATGAAGTAATGACTCGAAAGAGAGATTCATAATAAAATTTCTCCTAATCTGTACAGACTCTCATATTTGTGACTTTATCAAGTCTCTGCCCCGCTATTGTGGAGAGGAGATTGTACAGAGAGAAACGACACTGTCTCGTCTCCAAGTGTTTGCCTTGAAGGAGTATCTCAGTAAGTAATGGGATAATTCTCAAACTTTTAAAATGTCTTCCTTTCAAAATGGATGTGATGGCTCACCTTACAAAACTGAAGTTGTTTGACAACCGAARTGTGTTGATCACTTTGGGAAGAAATAAAGGAAGTTTAGAAACAAACTTGGTAGTATATCCATGTTTATCCATCAGATAATGGAAAAGAGAACACTGAATTCGTATTGGTGGTTGCTACATGAATACTCTGGGTTTTTGAGCAGAGTGTTGAAATAATTCTGTGCAATTCTGTGATGATTTTCCCAAAATCTGTTACTGCTGGATATGCCTTCTACAAAAGTAAGAATTCTGGTTTGGGTTTTTCAGCTTTTTAAAATTTTATTATTTCTTTGAAAAGTCTTAAGCAGCAGAGGAAGACTATGCATTGGAGATTTCTTAGATTGATCATGATGCATCATTCATAACAAAAACTGAAGGGTTATCCTGCTTAGATTTTTTTGACTTTGCAGAGAAGTACATTTGAGTGTCATGATTTTTTTCCATCTTAAATCCATTGTTTTAAGAGACTCAAAAGAAAAAAAATTCTTCAGAGAGATTAGCTGTCTTCTTTAAAATTCTGTGGAGATAATTTAAGTATATGATCATTAACAGAATAGCAGCTTAAAGAAAATAAGCTTTCTGTAAGTGGTCTCCCACCCCTGGCCCCTGCTAACTTAGTCACTCTCAGATTCCTGTCTGCTTCAGCCYTGAGCTTGGGGCTGCTTCAGAGCTTGTGTTGTAGTTTCTTTTGAGTGGGTCACCATTTCTGTTAAGAGACTGATTAGGAACAGTTGGGCTTTACTGAGTGTCCTAAATCACACTAGAATTACCTGACCTGTGAGATTCTGACCAAAGAGACTGGAGCAGGTTATCAGTTTATACTGGAGCCACACCCCTGCAATAGCAGTAAAAACAGATGGRTGGGGGGTTCTGCAGACTGGAGCTCTTCAGTTTTAGTCTCAGCAAGTCCAGAAGTTTGTCTCTGGGCAGTTCAAATCTGGATATACTCAGAAATGCATATACAGAAGTTAAAGGGCTGTAAAAATGTGATTCATGTGTGACTTCAGCTGTTGTCACTGCCRTTTTTTCACTTGTCTGTGAAATTAGCCACCCTTGTCTTTCTTACCAGCACAGTAGTGTCAAGTTAACTTACTCGTGTTACTGGTTTTGGGTGGGGATTTTCTCAGTTTTTTAGCAGGCTCCAGTTGTTCTTTGTTGCTTAGCAGGTGCAGTACCTTTGCTTTTTTCTTTTATAGAGAGWAAGACATTGACCAAGCAGTCTGCAGTTATTTCTACCAATGAGTTTAAAAGCTTGTTAAATCTTACCAGAGAATGTTTTTTGGACCTGTACAGCACTAGTCTTCCTAAACCTGTTCTACAGAAGGTCTCCAGTAAAACCAGGTCATGCCCTGTGACTTGTGGTAAGTATTGTTATTTACAAAATACGCTGTTTATTTTCTTTGGATGTTTTTTCATACATTTTTTTACTAAAAGGAGGAAAGTCTTTTTACCAAAAGAGGAAAATAGGAAGGAAAACTAGCTTTCTAAGTTTATTTTGCAAACTAAAATTACCCTTGCATTACCTATTTCCTTTATCTTCTTTGACAAAAAAAAAAGTGSAGAAAACATTTCTGATTACATCACCAGATCTTTCTTTTATTTACATCCTTTTAGAGATATTCATTGAGGAATATCTACATATAAAGGGCCATATATATCTCTTACTTTAAAGAATAAGATTCTTTTTTTAAGGGTTATCCRACATATATTTCTTGCAGAACCTGATTTAATAGAGCCAAATCCATTGGAGTGGCCAGAAAGACATGTTCTTCAGAATCTGGAAAACTTTGAAAAAAACAAACAAAAAATGAGGTAATAATGAAATACTGGAGATTTTCTTTGTAGCAACCATTGAACATTACTGTAGAGAAGCTTTGTATGTTGATAGTCATTGTGTAATCTGTTTTCAAATATATTGATAATCTTTCAAAATAGTGCTTAAGGCTAAAACTATTTTTCTGTCAATTTCCCACAGGTGTATTTTTTTTTTGGTATTAAAAGAAGTATTGTTTTGATTTTTATTGACTAAATGCCACTGGAATCTAGCTAAAAGTAGAATAGTTCCAAAAYTAAATTGTCAGAATGGCATTTCAAGAAAATAGTAGCCATGGTAGAAAAACATGCAAAATCTATTATTTCTCCCAACATGCCCTAAGTAATGAATATAATTTAATAGTTTTTGTCAGCATGTGCAATGTGTTCTAATCTCATATTTCCTGAATATTCAGTATTTTGTATCATGTCTCAAATAATTTTAAAGTTGAAGAGCCTACTGGTTTTATGCTTGCAATTTATATTTAGTTATGTTTTTCCTTCAGTGCTGTTCAGATGACACCTGTAGATCTTTTTGTCCCTTAATACAGCCAGTTGATTTCAGTTAGCTCTCACTTTATATAGACTTGTCACAGGAGGTCCAGGCTGGGTATYAGGAAAAGGTTCTTCACCCAGAGGGTGTTTGGGCCCTGGAACAGCTCCCCAGGGCAGTGGTCRCAGCACCAAGGCTGACAGAGCTCAGAGAGTGTTTGGGCCATGCTGTTGGGCACAGGGTGTGACTCTTGGGGATGGTGCTGTGCAGGGTCAGGAGCTGGACTCGATGATCCTTGTGGGACCCTTCCAACTCAGCTTATTCTGTGATTCTGTGATTTAATGGTCTTTGCTGGTGTTGATGTTCTTACTGACAGACCTGTAGAGCCAAGTGTCTAGTTGTCCTTTCCTGAGTCACTTCCATCCCAATTTTCTCATTCAAATACCACAGTTGGCCATGGCTTAGATTGGAGTTCTGCATGTGAGAAATTCTCACGTTAGATACCTGCTTTCTCATGAGTATTATTATTGTTATTATTGTTATTATTATTATTATTATTATTATTGTTACTATTGTTATTATTGTTATTATGGATTTTGTTTTCCAAACAGGAAAGTTTTTCCTTCTAATTAGCTGTCAAAAAGCTTACTGAAACACCTTTCATAGTCAGTGTTTATTTCATTTCTCATAATCTGAACTGATCTTTCTTATCCTGATCAGAATACAGCATGTTGCTTAACAGTACAAAAGAGAGAACTTTGCTATACTTGATTGAAGACACTAAAAACAAAGTGAAGGGTTGCATGCAGTAKTGGCTTTATGGTTCCTTTCCTGTAATTGTATGTATTTTTTTGTTTTAATGGGAACCAATTTTTGGTCCTATAATAGAAAAAAAGGGTGAATACTATTCTTCCCATGTTATATTTCATAAYGGAGCTCTGAATTCTTGAATAAATTACCTTCTTCAGTAGAATGTTAAGAGTATTTTTACCAATTATGATGTTCTTTATCATGAACATCTGTGTGAACGTTCTAAAGAAGCAACCTTGTTCATTTTAGTTTGGTACTAGTTTAATTGCTCCAGAGTAGCAATGGTTTAATATCTTTTAAAATACCATGAGTTTATGAAAAAAAAAAAAAAAGAAAAAAATTAGATCTTTGCTTCCTCTTTTCCAGAGTTTCTCTGTTTGCACATTCCTCTGAGCAATTGCTGGGACATAAAGACAGCCAGCGGGAGTCACTGACATTGCTGGATGCTAAAGAGYTGCTGAAATATTTCACACCAGAAGGGCTGCCCGTGGGGGAGCTCCAGCCACTCCAAGTTCCCAAGCGGTATGAAATGAATCAGCATGCTAAAGCCAGTGAAGAGCACACTCAGAGCTGATGTAGGGGAACGTAAATAAGGATGGGATGAGAGTCACAGAGCAGTCTAAAAACTCAGTAGGAGAGTTTGTAACTTGCAGCATCCTTGCGTCACTTGCCAGCCCGTGAAATMATTTTGGTGCTCCACTCAGTCATGCTATTCAGTTCTTTCAGAATCTGAAATGGCTGGAGAGGATGATATTGGTCCTACRCATTTAAATAACAAAATAATCACTTGAAGCACAAACGTGTGCTGGTGGAGCCTCCCCCAGCTGCTGCTGCCCTGTATTTCTATTTTCCAAAAGAGTATTTCTAGCAAAGCAAAAGTTGCTGTGGCAAAACTTTAATTTTATTAGTGTGATTTCTTTTGGCACAGGGGAGTCTAGGTGGGAAGGCAAAGTAAGAAAAGGCAATAGCTGAGCCTGTTTAACTGTGTTTGTCTCCYGTCATGCTTCTTATATGGTAAAGCGTTTCTTAAAGGAAGCTTATCTACTCTGGTGGCTTTGCAAGTGTTCATTCTTAGTATGTCTGCTGGTAAATATTAGAGTATTAACCACTGCTTTTTCAACACAAAGATACATGGAATTAATGGAGTAATTTTCAGGGTCTGAACATCTGTTAAAAACCAGATAGTGTTTGTAGAAACAGAATCTATACTGTTGTACAGTGTGTCATAGACTGCTAGGTAAGCAAGACAGTCTTTGYAGTCACTAGAGGTGTATTTGTTGACCTGTTTAATATTGAATAAGAATCTATAATGCAATTATTTGACAGTATAGAGCCCTTGATCATTTTTCAGACTTCATTATATGCAGTAGGAGTGCTTGTGAGAGGGAAAGGTACTGTAGTATTTTGGATTTTCTGTAGGATTTTTGMGACTTCTGTGAATTGTGTGCTGAAGTTTCGAAATGAACCTAAATATGTTCTGAGCAGAGAATTTAAGCAAGTTAGAAAATACGCAGTGAGGTTTTAGAATCTCCTACTCAGTTTTTAATGATTGCAGAAGATTTAGAATTTTGGCTAAAATATTTTACTTCCAACTAGTTGTGTGGGAAAGAAGTGAACAGCTTTTCACTACAAATTTCTATTTTTTTAGTCTTTGATTTTTTTCAAAGCCTCTAGAGGTSCACTATAGCATAGAATACCTTGAGTCTTTTGAAAGATATGCTTTCAGCTACAGATGAGTGAGATGTGAATTTGAATTGGGTCCAGCTGAATTCTATACTCCGAGCTTCTCACTCCCCTAGCAGATGCTCTGACTAAATGCTCTGGAATAATGAGTGGCTTTGCACAGTAGGTGATAAAGAACAGTGAATACACACCCAAGGATTTTCCTGACCAATGGAAGGACTGAAGAGATTTTGAGAAAGGCATGTTCACTTGTTTCCCATGTTTGAGCTTAAATAGAAGTTTGATAGATTATAGTTTTGGTTGACAGTCTTTCTAAGCTATTGTCTTGCTAGACTCAGTATCACATCTTTCCTGGATGTTTTTGTCAGATAATTATTCCAGGGGTAATGGTGCAGACACAGTCTATATGAATAAAATTTGAAGTGGTCTGTAAGTTTCAGATTCTGCTACATCTTGCCTTCATCTCTTCCGTTCTTTAGAGATGAAAGTAAGGGTTGAGATCTGGCAGCAAGAACTTTCTATCTGCCTTGCTGTGGTTTATTCTGTTGAAATACCTTCAAGTACACTCATAAGATTTAGCTGCAGAGGTTACTAGCTAGAACTGAAATATCCCAAGACACAAGGTGTTAGTTATGAACTCTGGGAAAGGTGACTTAGGTGAGGCAATGGTTTGAAGCCAAAGGGAAGGAATTCACTACTTAGTGTCTGATTAAGAAATGGGAGGTCAGTTCCCAGTTCTTCTCAGTTCATTCTACTGCTCAGGTCTCCCATTGTAAAATGGAGTGATATTTGCCTGGTTTTGTTGGTAAATTATTTGGAGTAGTGACCTTAAGTGTCTAAGAAATGTCCAAGAGCTTTTGTAATAATAGTAGCTCAGTTGGAATTTTGAACCTAAATTCTCACTTCAATACAGATTTAATTTTCCATTGGTACTTTATCCTAGGGGCTTAGCTGCAAGGCATGCTGTTTTGGTCTTCCTATGCCAAGGCATTTGTTTCTGATTTTTGGAAGTAACATTTATCTGGATGGTAATTGGTTAAAATAGATCTATATTCTTCTGCTTTCAGTGAAAATGCATTTCTTTTGACACCAGAGCTTACTCCTCGAAAACTCAGAGGTTTGCCTTTTGAAAAAGCAGCTGGATGCCATTATCATGGACTTGAGTAAGTTTCCTGGCTTCTTTTCCCAGATTTATTTTTTAGTTTCCAGTCTAGGTATAATTAGAAACATTTGAACTGACACATATGTTAATTATGGAAAATTTTATATATCCTTTTCCTTTGTTGGAACAACTGCACCTCTCCATTTCTTGCTTTTAGCCACTGATTAAAATTGCAACATTCCTGCCTTGATGATGGCAATGTAGAAAGATTTAAGAGGTTTTTTTCTCAGTTTTACTGCTGTATCCATTCTCAGTGTCTCTGAAAATTTTAATTCAGAACTAAAAATGGGAAGGGAAGTCGGGTTCGTTTGCACATATCAAGTTTGCACATATCAAGCACAAACACTAGGTACATACTTGATTTCTGCTTTGATATTAAGAGTCTACCTGTAGACTCTTTCAGACTAATAGTCACAAGGTTTATGAGACCTGATATGATGCTACCTGTGTGTTCAGGGAACCTGAAAATGCCAACAAGTAAGTGTTAGTGGTAACAATCCATRGAAGAATCCTTATGGTTAGGACTGTTATTTAATCCCAGCAAGCCAGCAATAGTTATTTTGTCAAAGCAAACAAATAGGCAGATTGTCATATAATGTAGCTAGCTGTATAAAAATAGATCACAAAAATACAAATATTGACAATGAGGACAAAAGGAAAAATGTTACAGAAATGCTAGAGTAGATAATTCAGCATAATGCTTCCATATAGACAGTCTTAATGCAGTATATATTAAGAAATGCAGTAGATACCAAGGATAGTGAACTCAGTCTTTGTGGAAATTTCTTCTGCCTCCTAAAATCACATTTTCAGGTTATCAGAATGTGACTAACAATGCTGCTGATATTTTTTTCCTATCAGTTTTAAAAATACTTTGGCTAAGCCTGTGTTTAAYATCTGGTCATTTTAGCTGGTTCTCTAGGGCAGTGAAGCACTCATTCTATCTCTTTAGCTATCTCTTTTTTTTTAAATGGTAACTCTTGAGCCTGTTAGCCTTTTTAGATTTGTAGTGAGTGGTACAGAGAGGCAACTGGGTAGATAAGAGAAATGCACATGGTASGTGTGAGAAGAAACCACTTGTCTGTTGTTTGTTGCTATGTGGTATCTTGCTGCCCTGCCTGACCTCAGCAAGGAGTGTGCCTGGGATTTCAAACTAGGCACAGCACAGTTTGTGCTGCCTCTTCTCCTAGCAAAATGTGATAGGTATAGACCACAGGGATGCTGGGTATTGTGGAGAGGAGGAAGATCCTGGTGTATTAAAATTACAGGGGCAATATGCGTAGCAGTAGGGARGGATGCGCTGGAGTGAGGTGTACCTGTATGACCAGAACAAGATACTCTTGTAACAACATACAATYGTAGTTATGGGACAGATGTGTTCTGTACTATGCAGTTTTCACCTGCCCAGCTGCTGTGTTTGTATTTGGAGGTAAAGTCTTGTTACCAAAACAAGGAGTAGCAGTTATCATTAAAAGATTTGAGTTAGAAGGGACCTTAAAGATTGTCTAGTTGCAGCCTCCATGCCATGGGCAGATTCACCAGCATCCCAAATGTTTTTCCCCAGAGCTGCTGTTAACTAATTTTTCACTCAGCCTGTATTTGTGCTGGCACTGCCCTGACCCAGGGGCAGGACCTTGTACTTGGCCTTGTTGAACCTCACAAGGTTTGCACAGGCCCACCTCTCAAGCCTCTGCATGGCATCCCTGCCCTCCTGAGTGCTGACCACACCACATGCTGCTGAACACACCACATGGTGTTCATGGCAAACTGCTTTCCTGAAGTCCAGGGGTGAGTTTGCTGTGTGCTCTCCTTGCTGCCCTGAGAATCTCAAACTCCACTATTTAATGGTCACTGCAGCCAAGACTGCCCTTGAGCTTCACATTCCCCAGCAGGCCCCCCTTGTTTGTGGGAACAAGGCCCAACATAGCACCTCCCTCACTTGGAGAAGGAAGTTATCTGCATTCCAGGAACCTCCTGAATTGCCTGTGCCCTACTGTGTTGCCCTCCAACAGATTACTGGGGTGGTTGAMGTCCCCCTTGAAGACCAGGACTTGTGAACATGAGGCTGTTCCTGTTTATGATTGAATCAAATTTTTGGTATAATGAACATAGGCCAGATAGATGCTGTGTTGCAAATGAGAAATGAATTGCCATTAAAGCAGTGAGTAAAATGACAGTTTAACTTTTAAAGTGAAACAGATTTTTTTATCTTTGTAGGGGATATGACTACTCAGGGGACTGAGAATATAAATAAGAAAAATTAAATACCTTGAAATTTTGAAGTTAAGAGTACTTACTCTCTTATCAGATAATGATTTTATGTCTAGGGGAAAGTCTTCCTCAGCTGTAGAAATGGATTCATCAGCCAGTTATTAGAAAAACTAATTTCTCTCTGAATATGAAAATACTCTGAACAAAGTGGAAACATCAGATCTAGCAATTYGACTCCATGTTAAAAGATAAAAGAATGTGTCTGGCCTTCCTAAGAGTGGGAAACATTGCTGAACAGTTTGAAGGGTGGGGCTGAGTGATAGCTCACGCTGTTCAGAACACTTTGTAACAAAGAGGCTGAAATAATGCTGGATTTACTGTTACCTTTCCCTGCAGTACAGGTAGTGTAAGTCGCTGGGTGATGAAACACCTGTTGTTTTGCAAGGAGTCCTGAAAATCCTTTGCACCAGAAAAAAAAGTTAAGATGCATTTTGTGTTGTTGTTATCTCGTGTGTATTTTACTGAGTTGGCATTGTTCATTTGTTATCTCTTAGCCCCACTGTAGTTAATACAGTTTGTCATGTTGATTTCATTGATTAAACCACTTACTCATTGTAGTTAATGGGAAGCTTGTGCTTGCTCAATGCAACTTTTTTTTGTACTTTTAACCCTTAAAAATGTGAATCTGTCATTTAGCTTTGTCTGTGATAAAGACTATAAGTTGCATTTCAAAGAGCTTGTTCAAGGGAAAAATGCTGCTAATATCCATGGAAATCTTATAAGAACATAGGGTAAAGAGTCACAAATAGTATATGAGTGAGTTTCTTTGTTAGAGTGGGACTTAAGGATAGCGAAATCCATCAGGCAAGTGTTAATTTACTGGGCTGTTAAAAGTTTCTTTCAGAACAGTACACCAGTTCAAACAACAACAAAAAGGTTTTGGAGTTCACATGACTGTTGAAAGTAAGTTTTTCTGATTGTAATAACACAGAGACCTTCTCTCACAGATTTCTTTCTCTCTCTCTCACCCAATTTCAATTTCAGATACTGTCTAGATAACAGAAGAGCCTTAGAGAGAGATTTGGGATATGCTGAACTTCAAACTCGTCTTATTCGCTATGAGACTCAGACTACTTGCACCAAAGAATGCTGCCCTGTGCCACTTGTCTTGAGTCCTCTCCCATCTCCTGCAGTCTTGTCAGAGCCTGGAAGTGTCCCTGATGGAGAGTCTTTACAAAGTGAATTCAAGACAGAGACATCAAGGCTAAAACGCAGATCAAAAGACCTGGATTGYTTTTATCCTAAGAAAAGGTAATGCCCTGAATAAAATGATTCTTTAGCATGAAATGTTTCAGTAGTCTCTTGTGAACTGCATCTTTCATTTCATCTCAAAATGTTTTAGTGAAGCTATCTAGACAAATGTTCTAGTTGTTTAATCCTCTTCTGTGGGTTCATTTTTCTTTTTCAAGTGTGAKCTCTCATTGATGGCATGACATTAATCAAAACCATGTGGCACAGGCACACTTTATTTAACAGATTTGGGGTTATATCTTGCCAAGTCTCAAGTGCCTTTGAAAAGATGACAGATAGTCTCATCTAGGACTGAAACTGTCGGTGCTGCTGCACTACGAATAAACTACTAAAGGTTTAGAAAGCCAAGGACTGCACAAACAGAATAATTSAATTTCTAATCCAAAGGACTGCTGGCACAGGATGCCCTACCAAAATTCAGTCTTATTGTCAGCTTGTTTATTAAAGTCTTTTCTGGAAGTCTAGTTTTTAAGATTTTCTTTTGTACCTTGTCCTCACTGTGAAAGTGCAAACTCTGTCACTGAAAATAACTGSTATGTAAAACTATTTCTGAATTCACTTTCTATTCTAATACTTCATTTCTTCCTTATTTCCAGTTTGATACCCTTTGCAATCTAATCAAAGTAAGCCCTTAACAGAGGTCTGGTTTTAGAAATATGCATATCTTTTGCAGCTTACTGAAGTTAGAAAAGAAGATGTGATTGTACTTAACTTTTCATAAATTGGAGTTTGGAATTGCTGATGCTCTTACAGTTGAAGGAACAAGGATTACAATGTTCCCATGGAATTATAATGCCCAACTTCCTGTAGTTAAAGATGAAYTGTGATATTCCTGTAGGGCCAAAAGAAATGAAATAGTTTCAGGAAGTTTTTGTCTTACCATAAGACTTGAGGCCAATTCTCTTCTGAAGAGTTTTGTTTTCTTAGTTACCCCATTTCTTCCATTTGTTTCTAGACTTTTTAAATCAGAGGTGCAATAGCTCTACATGTCAGAGCCCAATCTTTAATCCAGACAGGTGTTCTTATAATACAAAAAAAAAWTACAGAATAGAATCCTGTCTTTCTGTCTGCTGTCTTCAGATGTAATTTGCAAGAATACTTAGTGCTTTRAAGCCACAGCCTCTGTAGCAGAAACAATGGCACTAAAAGAGTCAGTACAAAACCTGAAAGTTATTTTTATTGGGTTTTAAAATTTTCTTTCTAGGCTAACCAAATCTGAAAGTACAGACTCCCTCCTGTCTCAGGCCAGTGGAAGCAGCAGGAGTCACTGTGCAGTTGCTGTCACMAGGAAACGCTCGGAAAGATCAGTTTCTGTGGCTGCAGTGCCATCAAAACAGCCTGGCCAAGCCCCCAGAGCAGCCACCAAGGCTGGCTCAGCTGCAGAGCCCGAGACCTCAAAGCCAGAGAAGGAATCGAGATCCCAGAAACAYACGAGGGTAAATACCTATGTTGTTCTCTTAGTGAAGAAGCAGCTGTTTAAATTCTTTCCATGGGACTTGATTTTTAAAATTTTTTTAACTCACTATCTTCATCTCTATTTGTTATTTTAAAATTTCATTCTGCTCCATTGTGTAAGTGAATCCTGAAGGCAYTGAGGAGAATGCTGGAGAAGCAAGGAATGAAAAAAATATGTAAAGGAGTATTTTATCATGCCCAGGGAATTAAGGCTGAGAGAGATAACAATGAGGAATAAAAAAGGTGAAAATTAATATCAATGAACAGGAATTATGAAATATGTATGATTAATGTWAAACCTAAAGGCACCAAAGAAATATTTGTGCTGAAAGAGTCAAAGGCATTGTGGAAGAACAGATTATTCTGCTAGAGATATTAAAGAGATTCCAGTAGTTCTGTAAGTCCATTAATTGAGATAGCAGTTAAATAATTTGGTGGAATAGTGTTTAAATAATAGCTGTGTATAGTAGGAATGCTCTTCTAAAATACAACACACAAAACTGTTTCTGGCTTGGGGATAATGATTTTAAGTTTAAGTCAGGGTCCAAGGAAGCATAAATTGATGTGACTCATTCAAACCTACAACAGATTTTAAATATATTTGATGTAAAGAATGTGAGAGGAAATTTTCTATTGAGACTTYAGTGTCAGTTTTTTTAAAAACTATTTTTATTTTATATGGATGCATCAAACAAGGGGATACTGCTATAGCAAAAAGTGATCTTTYAATATATTTTGTTTTGGAGAGGGAAAAAAAAACCCAAGGTAATATTGGCTTCTTTTTTATCTTCCAAGTTCCATGTTAATATTCACTGGCCCTTTACATTGCCTTGACATGTAAGCATTTTTGTAATTTTTTTTTAAATGAAAGGAATGGAAATAGATTGTTAAATGACTCTGCTCAAATTCAGGCAGTGAGGTGATGGCATTGTGGCAATGGATTAAAGACAGACAAGATCACAAAAGATCAGGTTTTCTGTTTTGGACTTTTTTGCTTCCCTTGGACAATTTTTTGAGTCAATAGTTGGGATAAACTGAGTGTGTTTCTGCTGTTTCCAAGATGCTGAAGGAGGTGGTTGCTAAGACTCTTCAAAAACATGGAATTGCAGAGGATCACAAGTGCTTCGCATCATGCAGCCAACGTCTATTTGAGATATCAAAGTTCTACTTAAAGGTAACTAGAAGACACACTTACAGTTCTTTATTCTTAGTTAAGTGAACCCATTCCTGAATAAAACTTGAGATAGCATGTGGGATATTCAGACTTGATTAAGCTAATATTTCTCAGTGGTGTGTAGATTGTGTGGAGAAATCTTTGAAWTTTTTTTGTTTTAAACCTTCTAAACCTTCTGTTTTAAACCTAGGTCAGATCACAMAGCAGCAACAGCTAAGGAAGCAATAGAGTATCTCCCAGTTGTAGCTGTGGCAGTTCAGCTTCTCCCTTGTTCTAAGGCTGGTGGCTCAATAAGTACTCACAGAACTGACTCAAAAATTCCAGTCCCCTGACACGGTGTGCAGTATTATCTGACACACTGGCTCAGTAGCACCCTGCAGAATTGATGTCAATACTTGATCCGGGCACAAAATCGAGTTTATTGCAGTATGGGTTGTTTAAAAGCTGTTGCTCACAAGCTGAGCTGCTGTTCTGTTCATTTGCATGTTTTTAGCTTACCACTCTGGGTAAACTAACTCAGTTTAGTCAACTTCGGTAACGGTGATTGAAGCTAAATGAAAGTTGAAAGGGACTGGATGCCTACACAGACAATATCTTAGTGATAAGCACCAACTTCTTGAATAATTGGAACACAGTTGTGCAGTCACTCTGTAAGTGCTCCCAAGATCTCCCTGAAATATGCCCTGAAGGAAGATCTCCTAATCCAAAATGAGAAATGGCTGCACATGGCAGTGAGTGAGTAGGGCAAATCAGTGGGTTCATGGTTCCATTCCAASTACAAAAGGAAAAGAAAGAATATAGCAGTGATCCTGTTCTTTCTAGAGAGAGATRTCCCAGGATTTTATTCCCCTGAACTGTCTTGCAGCTTCAAGTCTGTGGGAGCCCTTTGAATCCTTTTGTTTGCTGCATAACTTAGTAGCATGGTATCATAAGCATCATTTTGCTCTGGAGACAAGTAGTAAATGAATTTTCTTCTCTTCGAGCAAAGTTTTGTTCTTGCTTTGTTTTAAAAGAGTAGATTAAGTTGGACTAACTAATTGGACTGCAAAACAGAAAAGCCTGTCTACATTTTTCCTTTTCTTGCACTGATTTTCTTTTCTGATGTCCACTTCTCTCTTGCCAGAACTCTGTATTACAGTGTAAGCTCACAACTGATTTCCATTTTATATAGAAATAAGATYTCAATCAAGACTGTTAAAAACTTTTTTATTATTTAAGCAAAGAATAGTTCTTGAAGTGTGCAGGTTAGGAAGACTCGGTCATAATTGAGTTCTGGGTTTGGACTGGTGTAAGGAACCCTGCAACCCACTGGAATAGATTTAAATTATTTTCCTTTTTATATTAAAGAAAGCGAAGTTAAATAATTCTTCTGTTCTGAACAAGGTGATATAAGTGAAATGTCACCTGGGTTATTAGGGCTCTTATAACCCAAGTTAGAATGACCATATGAGTTTGCTGATTTCTGTGGCCTTTCGTTTCATATTTAGGATCTTAAAACTTCTAGAGGCCTTCTTGATGAAATGAAGAAAACAGCAAATGGCAATGTTAAGCAGGTAAGACCATGTGTTTATTTGTTCCTGTACACAGTCAAGGCTAAATGTTGCTGTGGCAACTTGGCTGTAGGAGGGTTTGGTCCRCAGCTTTCAGAGATGAAGAAAGTGCATTTCCTTGGCTGTGGGTCTCGTTTCACTCTGATCTCATGGAGAATTTCTCTCAATCAGTAGTGTCCCAAGGAAAAATTTCCAGTTGCACATGTTCAGAGTTTGGGTGGTATTCTAGTTATAGCTGGTGAGATGATGTGCCACTGTGAGACATGGAAATGAAGACAATAAATGTTTCTACATCACTGAAACAAAAAAAAAGAGAGATGAGATTTTTCTGTAATTGAAGGAAGCCTGGATCATCAGGGAATTCTTATTTCCTTCAACACAAGAAAAGAAGATTTCCTTTCAAAGGTTCGGAAGTAATAAATGAGTCTATAAAAGGATTTTTTTTCTAAAAAAGAAATGAAAATAATTTTCATTATTTTTCAGTAATTTTAGGCTTGTGAGTAACTGTAAATGCAGGGGATATCAGGTGAGGTTATTTGTGTGTAAGGTGGGACTTAGGTGAACAGCAGCACAGAGCAAATGACAGAAGTAAATATTCCTCCTGAAATRAAGTAACTCTGATTAAAATTGTGAKAAATATGCWGAAGTRACTCCATGATTTGGAAARCAAAAGGGAAAAAAGCATMATRTAYAATTGTAGTACAGTTTGCATAATCATTAATTGAAAGGAAGAATTTGAACWGAGGTAGTTAAGTAATAGAATATAGACTGAGGGAAATCTGCTACATCCTCACAGAATTTATTCTATGAGAGCAGTATTTGCTATGTTCTGTGCTGTATTCCCTTGTGGATTGCTTTGCATGGATGATAAGGTTTCAAAAACAACATGGGTTGTGATGTTTGGTGTTGAACTGGGCTGTTGTGCTTCTCACCACCATGTTTGGGCAGACAATTGGCAGTTTTTTTGTATGTTTGCTGTTGCACAAGAGGCATTAAAATAGTTGTTCTCCTAAGTTGCCTACTTTTCCATGTATTAGAGAGTATTTTGAAATTACCTTACCAAAAATATAATTGCCAAGGACTAGTCAATGGTCTGAACAACTGCCCTRTTTGGAAAGCAGCAGTGATAATGGTGGTGGATACAGCAGTTCACAAATTATCCTTTGTTCTTTCTTCTCTGGTGTTAGAAACTTTGAGAGCAGGAAGCATGAGCTGTTTGGCACTATGTGCACCTTGTGAGTATATGGAGAGAGTGAGGTGAAGTATTTCAATTCAGGGGTTCTAAAAATGCCTTTTCCTAAAGCCAAAGCATTCKGTAAGATTAAGTACAATTCTAAGAKMAWGGTGTTTCCTCTCAGTTTATTAACAGCACTTTCTCCTTTTGAGTAGTTTGCTTTTAAATCCTGTGTAGTAAATACCAGAAAGATGGTTACAGAGGTGGTGATAAAGAATTGATAAAGTGKGTGAGATGTTCTTAAGTTGCTTTCAAGACCAGGAGTTATGTAAATTGTTGGCTTTCTCATTTATTTGCCCAGGTGATTGAATGGGTTTTGGAGAAGACTGGCAAGTAGAGGCCCTGTGTGGATGCAATTCACACTGCCCAGGAACTGAGGAGACAGAGCACTTCAAACTAGAGGAGAAGCATTATACTGCCTGGTGCACACAGACATCTGCACCCTGGCAGGGCTTTGGTCAGTGTAATTATATRGACTCATTCTTCAAGCACAGTTGCAAGGTTTGGAACTTTTTGTACTGAAAGTTTTAATTTTTTTTTTACATTCAAATGAAAAGAGGTTGTATTTTATATGCGTATTTATTGTTTGTTAAAAGGAATGTAGCATGACTTGCTTTGATAAAGCTTTGTATATTTTTAAACAGTATATTTGGTTTATATGTGAATAAAAAACCCAACATATTTAATTTTGATAACTGCTACTTTGTTTTACCTTTTTATGTGAAGACCTTTATTCTACTTTTTACAGCTTGCTTTTGTATAAATAGATGTTTACAGCATCAAATTTTATACACTAATTAAGAACAGTTCCTATTCTGAAAGCAAACATAATTAGAATTTGAGTCATGATTATCTCTGTCTTGTAGTATCAGGGAAAAAACATGGCTTGAAACTTGATACAAAGTCCCATTAAAGAAAGTTTCATTGTTTTACAAGCTGATTTTYTGGTATAATTTCCTGTGTGCTCTTTGTAACACTCCTTAGGAAAAAAATCTAAGGAGAGGTTTGAGATTTCTTTTCCTGGAGGAGGAAAAAATCAAAGCAATAGTGGAAATGATGATGGTGAGAGCTGGGAAAGAGCTGCATGTTATGCTGAAATCTAAGGGAAAAAAGTTTCTACCTGTGTTGCAAAGAGAGTAAAATACTAAATTTGGCCTCAATTTGCCTAAGTCTTAGGCATGTACCTGGCTTGTACTAATGTAATTATTCAAGTTGGTGTTTTGTTGAGATGAGGAGTTCCTACTAAAACAAATAACACTTCACAGCTTTTAGTGTAAGGATTTTCTATTCATCATGTAAACTAACATGATGAGAACTGAYAGAGACTCAGGTCTATTGTTTGTTATACTCTCCTGGTAAGAAAATGGGTTAAGCAATACAAATATAAAGGACATGTAATGTTGCGAAACATAATGTTGGAGGTTAAACTTAACACTGTGAGATCCGTTGTTTCTCTAAAGAGCCTTCCTGATTTTGTGACATTATTCTTTGCTTAATTTCATTTCATATAAAGCTAAGTCCTGAGGAGGTTTTTCATGTGTAACAGGATCGTGAGATTAACTGCTCTGTGCCTTTGTTCCCAAGTTTACTGTTGTCCTGAACTCTACCAGAGCTTTTCTAGGTGGGTGTGTGCTTGGTTTAACTGCACCCTGGGCTGCAGTAGGAGATCTGTGCAGTTGCTCTGCTGTGACAGTGAGCTCCTGTGAGTGCTGTGTGCTTCTAAGCCCAGGACAAACATAACTACTTATAAGATGGATTACATTTGTCTGCAGAATGCCACACATCTGCAGCATTCCAGTTCTACTGGTTTGGTGAAACAGAAATGCAATGAAGAGAGATACTTAAATAATTATTTAATAAGTGCATTCACAAAATTGCTCCAATGTAATGATTACTGTGTATGGCTCATATTTCTTTGCATTAAAGACAGAAAACATGAAAGTAATCAAGACATTAACCTTTCTTAACATCTAGTGAATCAAGAAAACCTCTACTTCCAAATAACAAAGCTGTAAGCTGTAGCCTTATCTCTTCAGCCTGACATGCTGATACTTTTGTTTGAATACTAAAGCAAGCCACTACTTACTTAATTTCYACTTAATTTTGTGAGGTTTATATATTTGTAATTACAAAAACTTTGTAGTTAATAATTATATGTAAGTTGATTAGCAAAAGTACAGAAACTCTACCATTTCATAAAATCCTTAAGGCTAGCTGCCAAGAGCAAAGAAGATACCTTTCAGGAAAGTAATTAATATTTTGAACTGGTTTTCTTCTACTTCAAGTAGAACGCAATGTTTTAATTGTTTTAATTTAAAATTTAATTTTATTGTTTTAATTAATTCTGTAAACTCAAAAGGCTGGCCTGAATTAATCAGCAGGAAAGCAGTTAGGGAAGCATAAGCATTTTTATATATTGATTTTTGCACAATTCCCAGTGCAGAAATAACACGCTGTTGCCTGTGTCTCATTTGCTCTTTATGTTGGTGGTTTTTCAGGGTAAGTTGGTAGCTGGTTTATTATTACTTATAACACTGTGCCCCATTTGAGCTGTGAAAACTGTCCCTTCCCATGCTCTTAACTACAAAACATGCACAATCATTTGACCTGGTCTATTGTAACAGCATTAAACCAAATTATTTTACATCTGTTATAGTTCAAAAACCCCACACTGAGAGTGCCTGCAGCTCAGCTGATGTGCTGTAACTTATGGGATGCAGAATGTAATACCCTTTGCCTCTGAATTTAAGGTTATTTTCTTGTTCATGGCTGCTGAACCCCAAATCCAGTCTGCCTTGTGCATATTTTGGGYGCTTGCTTTCATGTTTTTGCAAGTGAGGATGCATGCAAGTCCTATTCAGGACACATTTATGGTTTATCCATAACCCACCCATCCTTTATAATAAGCATATTACATAGTATAATATAATAACATTAGGTATTCTATATATGTAAAGCACATCATCCATCCATGTTATGTTCTTRTATTCCTCACAGGATTTGGGTAAGACAGCACTAATGTGTTGCAATTACTTGGTGATGTGATTACTGGTAATACTACAGCAATTACATGATGAATATCACTGAGCTACCACAAAACTTAGCYTGGGTACTAATGCTTGTCCAAATTCACTAGCTTCCTTGTCCAAATTCAGAGTTTTCCCTTGGAATTTGTTTTCTAAATTTGTTTTCTAATGGATTTTAATTATTACACAAGCATGAAAATTCTGATAAAGGAAGAGAATTGAAAAGCTAATCCCATGTGGGAAAAGCAGGTGATTATGTTCAACAAGAGGTTATCACCTTTGTTAAATATTAAAAACGTTTTTCCCCTCATTCTTTTTAGGTGAACTTTTGCCCTGGTTAATCTAGGGGTCCACTCACAGCAAGCAGGCTATGTGTTTCTCAAAATTTTGCGAGCATATTATTAATACTCTTTATTGCTCTTTATTAAATATACTCTTTAAATGCTCTTTAAATTCAAAGCCACCACTGAATTTGAAAGTGTCCATTTTAGATGCAACTTCCAATTACTTTATAGTAATAATATACACAGTGATAGTAAGTATATATAAATATGTAATATATACTGTATCTCTGTGTAACAAATAGGCTCAGTAAATAGCTAGTTATAAATGCCAGTTTGACTTTTATGAAAAATAAATTAGAAATCAATGATGGTGTATTGATCTGGAGCACATAATTTCTTTAGGCTCTGATTCTGCTTCCACTGAAACCAAAGAAGCTCCCATTAACTTTTAAGCATGGGTAAGAAGACACTGAGAAYCCCTTGAGATGGAAATCAGATTAATCTCCCCTTCAAATCAGCTGGGCTTCCCAATGCAAAGAGCTGSATGGAATGTGCTTCCATGTCCTGTGGGAAGAAGGAATTCTAGCATTCTGCAGAGAAAAACACTTGCTTTGTTATCAGCAAAAGATCAATTCTAATGGTGGTCATGGTGGTGATTTGCTTGGTAGCACAGCAAGAGTTGTGTTCTGATCTCTAARGTATCTTAAGAGAGATGCTGGTTTCATTTGAAGGGCAGGATTATTAGAAACACCAGTGTGATTCCCTGAACACAATCAGATCAACTTTATTTTCTTTTTTTTTTTAAACAAACACCTTTGATCACATTTTTCCAATAACATTTATGTTCCAATATGTATCCAAATCTTTCTCATCGTGAATCTGCTACACAAACTTTATGATAAGACCATTCCATTTATAGTCATTATTTTATTAAAAGAATAAAACTCTGGAATACTCCTTTTCAGGATTTTCATGAGGCTGTTCTGCCATAGCTTGGGTCAGACTGAAAGAACAGGCCTGAATTCCCACAATCAGCTTTTCTATTTGGGCCACTAAGTTAAAAATTAAAGTCAAAGAAAAAAAAATCTTTTTCCATAGCCATTCATAAGAGAAAAAAGGCACATGTTGGCCTCAGTCCTTGAATGCAGAAGCTTGAAATTTCTGCTTTTTCTTTTTTTGTTTCTAAGTCCAATATTTTCTAGTCCAGTATATGCAACAAAGCTTGGCAGCAGAGGTGTCTGAATGACCTGGCCTGGAACATACCTATGGGCTTTCAGGTTTTTTTTTTTTGGAAATTTAAGCTTTTAAAAGTCATTGCTATTAACAATTCTCTCAAGTAAGAGAGTTCTTAACAGAAACACTGAAGTTTCAATGTATTTTTCCCCAGYCCAAAACCAAAATACAGCCTTCCAAATAGTTTGTCTGGGTATAAAGTAAGCTCACCTCACAAAAATCCAATAAATGACTTTATTAAATATATTCTTTTCCTCTAAAATATAAATATTCACTATACTCTTACAAATGTGGAGTAGGTTCATATTTCATTTGTCTATCCCATCCAAATATGAATCAGTCCAAAATCTGAAAATGAAGAAATAGCATCTGTGATTATCATTATTTTTTTCTATAAATATATATAATATGAATTTTCTTTGCAAACTGCTTAGTTATTCACTTAGACTTCATATAGTACTGAGCACCTTAGATTACATTTTGTGTCATTTAATTGTTGGCACTAATATAGGAATTTGTAATATTTACAATGCACATACATGTTAGGTATAACATTCCAGTGATTTTTAAGTGTTAAAAGGAATAAAGAAATAGTGCAGTATAATTTACATATKGATTTAACCTACCCCCCAGAATACAAATTTTCACTTCAACCTCTGTAACTTTTATAGGAGCCTGGGTCCAAATTTTTAAGCTGTACTTTGGAACAGTGATAAAAGTGTCCTGAACTGTTTTTTAAAGACTTCAGATAGCAGTYTCCTTGATAAGGTGACATGAACTCCTCTCAAAGCCCTGTCCCACTCTGTACCAACTGCCTGCAGCTTCTCAGATCTCTCTTCTAGAAGCTTCCACGCCCAAGGAGTCCCAGGTAACTGCTACAGAAAGTTGTGTGAATGGCAGTGGTCACTAAATCAGAAATGTCCACCTGGAAATTACAGGTAAGTTACATAACATGTTACCTCCTACCTTGTTAAGTTACATGAGGAATTAATTTTTAAGTGCAAGTACCATGACAATAAAACCAAAGTGCAGAGCTGGGTGGATCCCTCCCTGGACTGGTGAGAGGAGCTGGGTGCTGGGCTGCTCTTCCAATGGGGCATTGAGCTGTTCTTCAGTGATTATTTTCTGTATTTATTAATTCAGCCCATCATCCTATTATTTTAATTGGTTTTGATGATTARGATACTGTGGAAAGGACCATGAACTAATTCTTATGCTGTGAATACACAGCATGACTTACRCTTCAACTCAAACTTAGCTTAAAAACAACATGGAACCAGAATATGTTTTTAATTTTCCCCTTTGCCAGCCAAATGATGCTAAGTTGAAGTTGATGTGCTTTCTCAAGAATAAAAGAAATGTTTTAATATGAAAACTGAATATCCACAAACACTGAATATATTACTGCCTGTACATTACTGTATATTACATACTATTACTTCCTGTCCTGCAAAGTGTCAATTTAGGGCAAAACTCTAAAAGCAGACAAACCCCCACAACTGTGCAAAGCTGTTCWGTTTACAAAGGAAGAACAATGTAAGTGGCATCTCTGTTTTGCCTCTTCCTATTCCCTCCAGATCACATGATGTCAGTTTATCACTTCCAGGTGCAAGCTGTGTGTGTCATCTCTGATGCTGAAGGTCAGTGTTCCTGCCTGCTTTGTGCTGCTCAGGTRGCTGTGAACAAGGCTGAAACTCAGTGAATCATGTCTTGACTCACAACAGTAAGCTGTGGTGCAAAACAGTCACTGGTAAGTTGTRGGCATGAAGATGAACATCTTGTTTATCCCCAGCAAGAAATCTGKTTTTGCCAAGTCATGCCCATAGGAGCAGTTCCATGTCAAGGAGTGCAGCTCATATTCCTGCCCYGGTGCATTTTTCTCACTATTGTGGACCTGCTTCAGTAAATTTTTCAAAAACTCATTAAGTTTTCCTCCTCCCCTTTGTTCGTCCTGTGAAGACCACAGAGTCAGCCTTGTCTGAGCATCAAGGGTGACTCACTATGGGGAGGAGTTTGTACAGGAAGGTTTGTACAGCTTTCTGCTGGAAAACTGCCATGGAAATAATGCTGCCAGAAGCTTCCGCAAGGCTAAACATGGATTTGGGTAACTTTCTCCTGAGCAGGGGATCTCAGATACCTGAAACTCATTAAACTATTCTTTCCTAACAAAGGACACTGCTGCCTATGCCCCACTGAGAGGTGGCTCTGGGTACCATCCCTGTGGCAGGTCCTGCTTTGGCTCCATCACCAGGAATGTGGGTGACATGGTTACTGCTTAATGTGAAACTGCCCCTGGCAGGGACCCTCCAGCTGTTCCCTGACCACAGCTGGATTGYTTGAGTGTCCAACTCAAAGGTGTGTAATTGCAGCCTCTGCTGGGTATTCATGCAGCAGGTATGGCAGTGCTCCAGAAGAAAAATCTTCTCTAAGAGGTGCACAGATTATGACTGAAAGAACCTTTTACTTTCAGGAGATGGGACAATCTTATTTAGAGGTTTTTTCCCCAACCAATCATGGCTTGCATCACAACCAAGAAGTGTTCTTGTCTGCATAGCCCTTTACTTACTCTGTATAGACAAGTACATTGAAATAGGCACAATTTATGGTTCTGAAACATTTACATGTATGGTACTACACGCTTTTATGGTCTCACATGGGATCTTAAAATCCCATTATTTACAATTAAATCCCCCATCTTCCATATCATGCCCTCTYTTTAGCAGGTCAAAAGGAAGCCTGGGCCTTGGAAGACTGCAGAAATGACCAAGGCCCAGTCCTGAGCCCCAGGCTGGTGTCTGCTGCCACCTGGGAYGGGTTGCTGCTGTTGACTGTACTTCAGATTTGTGTGGTCACCCCATCTCTCTTGAAAGAAACAGATGGATCCTGTTTATGCCACCAAGCCCAGTCTTGTGATCTTTGCTGACAGGAAGGAATGAATGATGAAAACAATTGGTTTCGGACAGGAATGAAGGTCCAGTTGCTGRAAAAAAAAAAGCAAGCTGAGAATTAATGCATTAGATCACAGCTCAAACACAGAATCATTTACTGAGTACTCAACAAACTGCTGTCTGGTATTTTGAAGAGCCTTCTATAAACCTTCTCTACAATATACTGTTTTTCCTTTGCAGCTGATTTAAGTTACTAAAACTGATAAGCAGGTGAGATCCTGGTGCCTCTGGCCTTCTCTCCAGCTGGGTGAGCAGCAGAAAACTGAGTCAGATGGTGCAAGCATTTTTCCAAGACGCTCAACCCCTCCATCCTTTCAGGCTGTTTCTGCCCTGGGATGCTGGTGGGATGCTCTGTCTGGTGCCCAGTGCATCTGCTGCTGGTGCAGCTGGAGTACCTTTAGCTGCTGCTGCAGCTTCTCTGCTCTCACCCAGCAGTGAGACTGAACACAGCATTTGTTTTCCACAGTCATGGTTCAGATGCTCTCACCACACACTTGCTAAGCCTGACAGGCTTGTCAGTRTGCACAGAAACCCAATAAAAGGGTCACATCAAAACAAACCAGATTTGCCTTTCCAGCAGTCATGTATCAACTTTATAGAGAGCTAGTAACAAATTCCCTTCAAAAGCCTGACAGTAAGCCAATCCCAGAGCATGTGTTAACAAAGATGATGTTTAGCACCCAGCATGCCTAGGAACTGCTGAAAACATCTGGGAGGAAAGACCATATTTGCATACATAATTAATGGATCTAAACTGCTCATTGGAATATGCACCTTATTTTCAGGCACTGTGACAGAGGCCTAAGCAGACAGTTTGCACTATATCTGTAGCTTTTTTTCTCAGCAACTACATGTTCAGAAACACCTAAAACATAGCTTGTTGTCATAACATGAAATCCCTCTGTGTACATTGGAATTAATAAGGTCTCGTTCATATGTTCTTTCATCCTCAATCATATAAAAAGTGATACATTAAAAAAATTTAACATCTGGCCATTTAGAGGTGCAGTTTGCTCTTAAATGAGATAAATCTTTMATCTCTCTTTGAATGGTTTTACAATTTTAACTGTCTTTTTAGTTTAACTTCGAAAGCCAGATCATCGTGGTGTACTAGAAAGCAGAGTCTAAATAGTGGTACTGGAACCTGACACTGGCCAAGTGTTAGAACAGAACAGAGTGGAGTAAATATTTCAGCTGGAAGGGACCCACAGTGCTCATCAAGTCCAACTTCATTGGTTTTCTCCACCCCCACAGCCTGCAGGACCATCAAAGAGATGGTAACATGCATCCCTTTGCTAAACATAGCACTTACAATTTCTCCATCTTTTTCTCCAAAGTCTAAATAAAGCATCCTTATCCCATCATCTGAGGACATTTTCAGTTTTTCATAGGGATATTGTGCAATTGTYTTGGAGAAGGCACCATCTTGTGGTTCAGTTGTAAGAGAGAATCCATGTTCRTAATGGATGGTCAAGCGGCACTCCTGGCTTTTGTATGTGCAAGCTGGAGAAGAAATCAAAATTTAGTCAGTCACATTCATAAAAACAGTTCTTCATGTTGCAGCATACATCTACATGCTGACAAAAACCAGTGTRCTGAAGTTTAAAAAGGTTCAGACTGGTGTTTCCTCCTCCAAAACCTTCACAAAGTCACAGCTACTCTTGTTGCTTCTAACAGACACAGCCAAAATCAATAAACGTGGCACACAATGCATGAGAAAATTAGAAGCTGTAAAGGGTTTCCCTAAAGTATTTTGACAAAGATGAAGACACTCCCGAGTCCTCATTAGCGTTGGGGTAATTGAAAAAGAGCCCAGATAATTGTATATAATAGCTACTGCAGCAGAAAGTCAGCGTCTTGCCCTCAGCTCTGAAACAGAGACCATGATCCAAATTAAAAAGTGAGGAGTTCTGGTGTTCACATCCCAAATTCTCTATTCCATCACACTCCTGTGAACAATTCTGCCAAGAAGGATCCTTGGCACTGGGATAAAAGCACTGTGATAAAAGAAGGGGCTGATGCCCTCCTCCTTCATTTGGAAAGAATGGCATCCATGTCACTGTTGAGGAGATGGATTGGTGCTTGAGCTGGTTCCCACTGAGCTCTCTGGTTGGTTTGCACATCAGGGGCTCTCAGAGAGCATCCTGAGCTCCCCGTGGGGGCTGGGGTTTGGCAGCTGACAGGCAGGAGTYCCCTGCTCAGCAGCACATGGCACTACCCGAGCTTTGAGGAACCAAACCTGCCCTTTGTCATGGGTGGATTTGTGCTTTGGCTCCTCCTCTTACACTTTTAGGAAACAAGTGGAACATTCAACATTAACAGCCTGCCAGCTGTGGGACTATTAGGAGAAGGACTGCAAAGTTTGGGGACACTCAAGAGAAAGGCACAGCCTCAAAACCCAGAGTCACCCCAGGCTTGCAGCTACCTGGCCAAACAGGCATCACTCCAGAGCATCTGCAGCCAASTACTTTTATTCCAGTCGATTTTGCATGTACGGAAGTGCTGAGAAGTGGACACCCTGATGTTAAGGAAGGCAAAAGACTACCCATCAAAATTATGGTTATTAGACTGGTTTGTGGTTTTTTTTTTACTTTTCTCCAGTGTGCAGAGCTGGGTGAATAAATGACCAATTCACACTTGTGAATGTGCCGGTCCTCTYCTGCCTCCTCCCTCTGCAGGAGAAACTCCTGCTAGGCTAGGAGTCTCTTCAATCTCAGAAAAATGCTCTTTTCTATATGTTTYTGAACAACCTCTGACAATCACTTCTCTGAGACATGAAGGCCTACATGGCTGACTACAGACTTGTTTGGGAAACAACATGCTGAAAACAAACCCCAAGTCAGCATGACAGTGACTGTGTCACTGGACACACACACTATGCCAGCTGGGACCGGCTCAGAACCTGACAGTATTTTAAACACATAGAATCCTAAACATGCACATTTTTAAAATCAATCACTTCTAGCAGAAGGAGCTTGAACCGCCTCAAGTGTCACAGGAAGGGTGTGGCAGTGTGGAAATGCAGCACTGCAGGTTACTCACACGTGGTGATTTCTGTGATGAGCTCTGCAGAATTGTGGCAGCCCTGGACTACGCTCCTGGTCCACAGTGAGAGGTCTCGGCTGGTCTCAGTCCTGAACAGATGCGTTTCAATCCCTTGCCTTGTACCGGTACGGGTTGCAAAAGACAAATCCACCCCTGACTTCGGTGAGCCTTTTCCTGGGCCAGAATGGACCAACCTGCAATTAGATTTGAAAACATATCAGGAATTCTAACAACAGTGCACTGCCCCAAAGTCCTCACCTGAGCACAGCTCTATTCTGCACATTCCTAAATACACATGGTAGGGAACATGAGAACTTTCATCTCCTCTGTATTCATTTGGAAGAGTGAGGGTCCAAGGCAGTGAGCACAGAAGCAGCTGGACAGACAGGTGATGACTTGGATGTCCCAAAATTTCCTAGTGAATTGTACAAAACACCCCTTTGGATAAGGAACTGAGAAATCCCTGACTGGTCTGTGGTGATGGAGTCTGATCCACAGATACAAGTGCTGGCTCAGATGAGGCAGCTGAATCCAGCTTCCACTGTGAAGCAGCTTAAAATTTGCTCTAAAGCTTAAACATCTGCAGTCAAACTCAATGATAAATATTGCTGAATAAAGTAAGCTCTGTAAAATATGTAGAGGCCAAAGTACTGTCTTGTACTTACTTTTCCCATAAGGAACCTGTAAAATGCAAGATGTTGCAGTTACTTGTAATGTGAAATTCTCTCACATTTGTCTACAATTAACATTTTTTTGCCCAGCATCAACAGCTGATCTCCTGTGGCGAGGAAAAGTTTGTTCATCTGGGTAAACAAAAATTGCAGGGAATATTTTTRAGTGAGAAAATCAATACCTCATAAAAATGAATTCTTCTTTAAATCTGCCCTCTTGTGTTAGGGTTTTTTTTTCTCTCTAAAATTGTGGACAATTCAACACAGAATTCACTCAGGGACACAACACTGATTCATCCGAAAAGAGTAATCCAGGGGAGCTCATCACTCTGAGAGTCAGAGACTAACCCTCAGAGGCAAACACAAAATGAAATTTGTCTGAAAAGCTTATTTCTGTCTTGTGCCTTCTGTTTCCCTTTCTATAGGCAAACATACTTCACAGGAGTCTATAAAATATGTGGCATGACAGTAGAAACACTTGTGCTAAAGGATAAAACATTAGATTATGCTAATCCTCTACTGAATGCTAATTTACCCTCAAATCATTGTTTTGCATCAGCAAGAATAGTTGCTTGTTAGCTGACACTGTAGGAGCATGCCACCAAACAGGRATGTGTTAAGAGAATAGAAAAAAGCAGGGAAGAAAAAGCACTTTAACTTTTCAGTTATTGCAACACCAGCCACAGGACATCTGAAATTTACTCCAATTCCCTGACAGTCCATGCTGCCATATGGGATGCACATTGTGCCAAATGGATGCACCCCTCTTTCATACCCCACTAGCAGGTTTGCAAGATTTGTTCATGCTCAAGTTCATGGAAACTTTCTTCAGATTTTGAGCATTCCCCCTGACTTTATGATCCCAAGAGCACCTGGGAAATGAAACACAGAGTATATCCTGGTCAGAGATGCCCTGTCCTTTGTCTGGGCAGGACAAGAAGGGCTTTTTTTCCCCTCTAGAAAGGCTGAATTAATGCCCCACTCAGCTTTGATACTCAGGGCCTCCTATCTGCACTATGGGCAGATTTTGCAGTTGGGCAGTGAGCGGCAAACTAACAGCCCAAAAATTTCTCAATAATTCTCTTTCATTTGGTGTGAGAGGGTCTAAATTCTGAGGAGAAGCTACAACTTGATAATTAAGGCAGGAATGAGGGAACTGAAATCACCAGTGACATCTGCTGCTGTTTGTCCCTGGCCAGTCACCAAGGCACAGGCACAGCCACTGCTCTCATACTGCCGTCTGTTACTGGGCTGTGGAAAAGCAGCCTGGAAAATCATATTAAGTTTGTCATTAGAAATAAAACTATTCCAGCTTTTTCCTGGGTCATCCCTTCTCCTTTATGCAGTGCTCATCAGCTATACKAGAAATCATTTTCTATTACTTACCGTATTGAATACATAACAAACAGATGGTTCCACTGTTTGATTTCCTTCCAAAACACACACCACTACCACCCACTCCCCCACACCTTCATGCTGTATCCATAGTACTGTGTTGTAGGTTTTTCAGCATATGAATAGAATGAAGATGTACTTTACAAATTAAAGGATGTGAACACATCCAACACAAACACTGAGACTTGCCTGCCTTTTCTTATTATCTCCTCTTTATTAAAAATCCACTCTCACTATTTAAAAATGCTTTGCCATCAAGCAACTCCAGATCAGGCTTTGGAAAGTCATGCACTTAAAGATGAACTAGACAAACATGCAGGAGGACATTTGACAGTATTTATATTCCAGCTGTCAGTACTCATGGATTTGGGTGCAGGTCAAAGGATTCCAAAGCTTTMATTAAGTTGCATTCAACTTAATGAATGGGCTGTTTCATTTGCCTAGAAGACATTTTATCCTAAAGGTCACAAAGATACCTTAAAAGGCARAAAATAGCCTTAGAAACCTCACAGGGGGCTTCCCCTCGCCCCCTCCTCCCATCACCCTGGCTGCAGGGAAGTTGTGTGCGTGGTGTGTGCTGCACTCCAGAGCCGAAGAGGCGYCCCAGGCCGGGCTCTGGCGATATTCACCCGCAGCCCTTGAAGGTTTCTCTGCTCCGTGGAGGTTTCTGGGGGAATCTCTGAGCACCGGAGCCCGAGAGCTGAGCCCCGAGCGCTCCTGCGGCACGGCAGAGCCGCGAGAGGGCAGGAGCAGCCCGGGCACGGCGCGCACCGAACGCAGCGGCTGAAAACCCCTGAAAACCCCTGAAAACCCCTGARAAACGCAACCCCSGGCACTCCCGGCAGCCGGGAGCYACTTCTCATCTTGTCTCATTTCTSCCTTKTCTCTCCATATTTCGGGAACCTTTTTAACTTTATCCTTTGCAAGATGGGTATGGTCCAACACAAAGTGCTGCTGCAGGGAGATGCACTGGGAGCTGCTTCTCATCCAAATGCTATGGGAAGAGTTTCAGCGATTTCCTGCAACAGCCAGATCTAATGGCCTCTTCAGAAAGGACAGTGAAACCAGCACTGACATCAAAGGAAGCCTTCAGCTGCTCACTTGAGATTTGTCTCASAAGAGACCTGGTTACAAGTGCCTCAACACTCATGGAGCTCTGCTGGTTAGAAACCACTGCCATCTGACCTTTCCTGTGTCACCCTGACAGCATTTGACACCTGCTCTGAAATGGCTGTACTCCTTAGAAACCTGTGCCCATGCTCTCAGTTTATCTGCCTGGAGGAGCCACAACCTCCCTCTCTGCCTAAGGAAGACAAGCAGAGAACTTGCACAGCACCTCATAAACCTTCTCGTGGCTCTCAGAGCACCCAGTGCTCTCTGCCTGTCCCTCTGTCCGCTTGCCCAGATGATTAATCAGTGCCCAAACTCCTTCCCCAGCTTTCCATATCATCAGCTAKCAAACTACTTTAGTATTTTCTGGTTGCAGACCTCGGCTGTACACAGAAGCTACTTACCTGATCTTTAATCAGAGCCCAACATGGGCTGCCTTTAWTTTTTTTYCCCTTTTCTTTCAYATCTGGCTATRATARAYAATGGAATTTGATTGCAAACATATAAGAGATAATTACTTAAGYCCCATTCCCATGCTAGAGGGAGGCACTGTTATTCAGGCCTAAGGAAATACTGAAACAGAGATTATGACGAAAAGGTCCTTGGAGTCAGGGCTGTGTGCCAGCTGCCGTGCCTCCCTGTGCAGAGATTTAACGGAACAACTTAAATCTGATCTCAGTTTCATTTGAGCTGTTATTTATATTCCTCACAAAGCTGGAAAATACTGACTGAAAAATATTTTTAGGTCTTAATGGAATCCATAGGTTGTAGGCAAACTTACCAACAAACAAGAAGGGCATGTTGAAATTCTGCTGTTAAAGGACTGTGAGAAGATTGTAATCCTTCTACCACTTTCCAATTTTCTCTGCTCATTATGTCTTGGGTAGATTAAGCATGACTCTGTACAGTATCTGGCACTGAAGTTTTCCAGTTTCAGCAGCTTTTCAAATATGCATTAGCTAAGCAAAAATGTTTTCCCAAGGACTCATAAAAATCTGAAAGATGGGAGCAGCTAAGATTACAACATGTGCTCTGCAAAGTTTCCAGGTGAAAAGTTCTCAATTGCACTGATCAATGCACAGAGGGGATTAGAAAACTCATCACAAGGAGGGGAATCACTGACCGAGAATGAACACAGCAGCAATACCAACAGCAAACCCACTGTATTTTTTTGCTGGAATTGCACTCAGCGTGGCAGATCTAAAAAGCAGAACCCTGCAGGACTTTAATCAAAATCACCCAAAACAGGAGGTGTAATGATTTAGGGAATCTGTCCATTTATGTAATCTGTTCACCTTGGATATTCATGTATATATGTGTATTTATCACACTGTGACTCCATTCTGAACACCAAGTTCTGTATGGCTGCTGTCTTTTCACCTGGCTGTTAAACTCMCTGTGATATTAGTAAGAAATCACAGAAATAGGGCTGGAATGGCTGTCAGGAGGTCACCCAGCACATCCCCCTCCACAGAGCAGGGCTAACTGTGCTGTTTGACACCCATCCTTCAAAGTCCCCAGTGATGAGGACTGCACACCTTTCCCAGAGAATCTAAWCCACTACCTCACCTGCACACCAATTCCCTGCCACAAGTACAGTCAACTATGTCCYATTGTATTCAGGAATGATCTAAAAYAGATACTCCCCKGTCCTCCTTGTGCCTCATCTTCATACCTGAAAACTATTGACATCTTTTCCATGGCCTTCTCCAGATTAAATCACTAAGGTTTCTTAAGTATTCCCCTACTGACAGTGTTTCTATGTTATATRTTCRCATTGCTTTTGCATTGCKTTCTTCTCCATCTTCCACAGTTAAYTGGGATCCTTTTGGAAATGCAATGCCTCTCATGAACATGGAGTATCACCCAAGGCTTTACTCATTCTCTGTAGTTAGATATGATTACTACATCTGCCCAAAATGCAACACTTCTGYTATTCCCCAAGATGATTGTCTTTATTTTCCCCTCAAAAATGTAACACCTTAGATTCAAGCAATTTCATCACACAGCTCAGGTGGTTCCTGGCACAACAACTACTTCATTTCTCATATTCCACCCCAAAACAGCAGAGGTGATTATTCCCCAGCACTGAAGTTTGCACCTGTCCTTTCTGAACTGTATCCTGGCTTACAGACCATCCTGGTTTGATTTCTTCCCAGTCTGTCAAGACACTTCAGAGCACGACACGTGCTGTACAACTTCTCATTCCCCTCCAGCACAATGATCAATGTTTTTCCATTCAGGCAGGTACCCCAACAGACCAGGAGATGATCATCCTTGCCCAAGGCAAGCCTGTCTGCTATCACATCTGACCTCTTGAGAAAAAATAATTAAGTAACAGGCYCCCCAAGATGTGGACTTTGATTGCTGGATGCAGTGAACTGGTCTCACTGCTGATGGGGCTGGCAACACTCACCAAGGAGCTGTCCTTGCACATGATGACATGGGCCAGGAAGGGGCAGGGTGCACTACAAGATCTCCATTCACTTTAAGGAGGATTTGGGCCCATGATTTAAAAATGAAATGCCAAAAAAAAAAGAGAGGAAATGCATCACCTTCTGCTGGTGCACTCTTGCTTCTCAACCTTTAAGGCTTGGTGACACAACTGGACASAGGTTCCAGCTGCAATACCTCACCCAGCTTTCACTGGGACTTGCCACCTGGAATTGTCAACATCCACCACACCATGCAGCAGACTGCAAGCTGCAAAGCTGGTCTGTCTCACCCACATTATGGTAACAAAGGGAAGTCAGAAGTTGGCTTCCCAGGAAGTCTGAAAGCTCCATCATGGGTAGGTAGACTGGGAAAATACCCATCAGTRAAAGCCTGAGTTCAATTTTATTTTTTTAACATGACTTAGCAGCAAAGCCTCAGTTCATTTGGGGAGAGACAGAGAACAAAAATTAACTAMTGAGAGTGCAGTAAGAGACTCACTGCTTCTGGCCATGGGCAACCAGCCCTTCTGAATGAGAACTCATTGAAAATGGTATAATRGAGGCCTGTAGCAAGGCTGAAACAAGGAACAACAGCTCTTTCTCAAGCCCTTTGACCATACTGGCAGAGAAACATGATTAAGATTCACATCAAGAAGCACAGTTTCCACTGCATAAAGGAAACCATGGGAAAGCTTTCTTTGAATTAGTGTTAATGGATACCTTCAAAATAAWGCAAATGGTTATTTCCAACCTAGATTCAAGAATGTGCCTTCCAAGTTTACTATTTTAAGCTAAAAAAAGCCAGGAATTCATTTGCTAAAGCAGGAACAGAAGCTATACTGAAAGTGYCTCCATCACATGTGAAACTCTCCAAAAGCCCCAAACTGGTGGTGCAGAACTGCCACACCAGCACGTTCAACTCAGGGCAGCAAGTTCACTTTTTTTCAGTCTGGAGGAGCAGCTGGAAGTCAGAGTTTTTCTGCCAAGCTCACAGGTCTGCACACTCAGATAGCAATCTCAGGAGATTGAGCTCTCATCTCTTTCAGTGCTCYTGCCTCTGTATCCAGGCCAAGTGGCCACATCCAAAATCCCAGAGCTTCTGGCCATTAGCCTCAGCCAGAACTTGCAATGGAGGAGGAGAGGAGTTAAGCTCAGCACATCAGCCCACTGAAGAAGAAGCTGCTTCTCCAACCACAACATTTGAAGTGTGACTACAGCTGTGCACCAGCTGTGCCTGCTCCTGGCTGACTCAGCTGCTCCCACTGCTGCAGAAAGCTCTCATGTTAAAAAAGCACAGGTACCTGGTGGCGAGCAGGGGGTAGGTATGCAGAGGGCTGAACCAGGCTTCCTTCATCCGTGGCATGCTCTCATATATTAAGAGATCTTTCTCTGTCAAAACCACTAACACTGGCTTCCAGTGCTTCTCGTTGTCTCCTGGCACCTGGAAAAGAGTAAAGTCTCATTGAAACAACAAGAGACAAAACTACCACCATGCAAAGCCAGATGAGATGACCATGTTGCATTCCGGGTGAGAAAATGAACAACACCAGAGAGTTTTACTTCTTTGGCTTTTTGACATCTCCCACCTGAATTTATAATCAGATGCAGCAGAAATGGAATAATGTGCAAAGTCATCTGCTGTTCCCATTAGCACTGCCATTTCCAGCCTTCCCGTACTACAGGCTACACCCAGAACACTGAGGTGGAGCTGGCTGTTACTCAGCTGTGGCATTCATGAAAGGACTTTAAATGTATATTTATAATGTGCACCATTCATGTGTAGCTGGCACATTAACCTGAGTGCTGGAAACCGCTGCTCCTGTTTCTATTTTCATGAGTAAAAAAAGCTGCACCACCATCATTAAACAAGAGTGTCAGGTAGCAGGAACCAGTGGTTTGGGAGCAGATGCTTTTTTCCTCAGCAGTTCATTTTTTTTTTTTGCTTCTCCTTCCTTCATACCATTCTTCCAGTTTTACAAGGGCCGCTTCATAAAGAGACCCAACCTAAATGTAGGTTTAATCTCAAGCATTGACTCAGTGATGGATCTGTCTTCACATTTCAAACCTGTCTGTCAAAGATGTCTAAAGACTGGGGCATCAGAGCCCTTTACTGGCTGCAGACTCCAGATGTGAATTATATTCTGCAGGTTAGATGTGTGATGTCCACATGGACAATTACTGTTATAGGGACCAAGTACAGATCCTGGTTTTTACTTATTCTATTCTGACAGCACAGAAGTGTCTCAAAATGGTTGGGAATATGAAATGACCTTTGCTTCAAATAAGAAAGAAGCTCTTTCACTGACAAATTAATAATTTTCCTTTTGGTGCACATAAAGAGAAATAAACTCTGCTCCACAGTAACAGTCACAGCCATGCTTTCAAACACAAACATCTTGGCTGGGTACTGAAGGGAATGAARCAAATTCTGAGATTCCCCAGAGAATCTGGTTGTGTGCATGACTCCTCCACTAAAGCCTCCTCTGGGATAGAGAAGCAGCTGTCTGTGCTCTTTTATGGTTGATGTCAGCTACTTGCCATGGGCATGTGTCACTGGGCACATTGCTGGGTGGAGAAACATGAAAGGGATCAAAGTTTGGMCAGGCTGGGAGTGGCAGACCAGGTGTGGTAATTCAGAGCCACATTTGAAATGCATTTCATACAAATTCAGGCTCTCACAAATTTCTAAATTTTTAAGGGCTTTCAAGACTGATGTAACATAACTTTACACCAGAACTCCARTGCCCAAAGCAGATCTTAAACTAAGATTTTTGGCTTGTGTAAATTTTTAAGATATGTTTTTCCCTCTGAATTAAGGATTCCCAATAATCATATTCCTGTTTACAACATTAATTGCTCATTGGTTGTTCATGTCTCTGTGTTTATCAACTTGAAGTCATAAACAGCTCATCCTTTCAATTTCTTCCGAAGCCTTAATTTACAATTTTCTTGTGGAGATAGTTTCTTGAAACACAATCTTTCATTTTCAAACAGGAACTAACAGAGAAGCCACATAATTAACACACCTATTACTACACTCAGGAGAGAATGCAAAATCCAGAGTTCTCACAGGCCAGGTACCACAGAAACATTCACATGAGCAAAAAGCATCCTCAGCTTCTTAACACCACAGCTATTAACTACAGTTAACACCCCTGTTCCTAGYGTGGGAAAACAGAAGTGTCACAGTTAATGTTAACACTAAGTAAATGTTACAGTTAATATTAACATTTAATTTTGRAGCATCTGCCTGTTTTCTTTAACTRGAAAGATTTTAATACATACTTTTGAAGATTTCCAGAAAAGAAAAAAGAAAGATAAATATGAAATATCTCATGGGAGGAAAAAGCAAGATGTTCAGATTCATCATCTTTAGGAGTAAGCAGTCAGTGTACTGCAATCTTATTTCTAACTTTTAATTATATGACCACAAGCAATCTAAAGACTATGGGAGGCTGTTCACAGCTTTTCTGCAGAACCATCCTGCTTGTGCAGCATTTTCAATCACATGCTTTGCTATTAGGTGGCTGTCAATCAACAGCAACTCCAAAAACTTTAGGAAACACTGTTCCCTGTAAAGTAATCATAAGAAAGAGAATAAAACTCATTTTGCCAGTGGTCCCACAAGTCTTTGCTGGACAGCTGTAAACAACAGGAGACAGAATTTCCAGCATGGATCCTGAGGTCAACACCTGCACRGTGCAGCCTTGCCCCAGTCCTTCCCAACAGCAGGTTGGGTGACTGGAGTAGTTGTGGCTTGGTCTCAAGGTATGGAATATTTTTCTCAAGGATAAGTGACCTTACACTACCTCTCCTTGTAGGATGTAGGCCGTGTTAGTAGGGTTTGCACAGGGAAGGGGAGAGCAGGGGGAATGATTTGCCTGTGCTCTGCTCTGAAGCCCTCCCCAGTGAGAAGGGCCATGCAAATCACATACCTTGGAGAACATTTTCTAAACCTTGCTGGGACCATAACTGCCTCACAGATGAGGAATGCTGCTGTAAGCAACACTGCTGCTATTTCCGACCTGAAGAAGGATTTGTGTGCTTGAGAGCCTGTCTGCTTTTCCCCAACTGTAACAGYTGATCTAATAAAAGATACTGCCTTTCCTTAGAAACCTTGAATTGCATCACTGTTCCCTTATTTCGTAGGGTTTGGATCAGGCTGTAACAGCTGATGCTGCACTGTCCAACAGGCAGTTGGCACTTGTGCAAGGTGTCAAAGAGAACATGCTGTCCTGTAAATGGTAATGGCAAATTTTACAAAGGAAGAAGAGGGGCTGCAATGATACCACTGGGCTACAGGGCACATTCACTACAAATCAGCATGGGAAATTAATCCAGATCAAGCAAGTGTCATACCAAGCATGTATAACAGCAAATTAAAAAACAAAAGCAAAAACCATGCTGCTTATGGGCAGCCAAGTGAAGGATTTGTTCACATTTTTAAGGTTTTAATGTCTGWCATACCATAAACATAACATGAAATGCCTGTGTAAGAGTAAATTTAAATATCATTTGAGATAAATTTTTGAGACACTGTTTTAGACAATGGTTAGGGCCAGCTTCTTAGCCAGAATTCTGCAGAATTCTGGCACTTGTACTACAGTTTCTTCGCTCCAGCTCCCACTTGCACATGTACAATTCAAAGTGCATTGATCCGTGYTGCAGACAAATAAAATCACCATCCACTCTAAGAAACTTTTCAAACTGAACCCTTCTTCAAAGTCAAAACTGTTCATCAAATCTAGATGAACTACARAAAAGAAAAATCAGCACTCCACAACAAAATGAATCAGTAGATATTTTGCAGGTGTTCTGGGCATTGTTCAGGTAATTCCAAGCAACAGGTACTATGTTTCCTCTCCATGTGTCACTRGGGTCACTGCTTATATTCCCAAGTGAAATTCCACTTCAAGTCAATGGTGCTGTAAATGTTTATACCAGAAGCAAACTTAATTTTTTTTCTTTTTTAGACACACTGTGCCTCTAGATCAAAGTCTTAAAGCATAAACCTGAAAAGGGAGAACATTTTCTAAGAAAAAGCACCAAGTGCAGTGAAGAACCCTTTTGCTACTCCAAACCTCTTTGCTCCTCATGTACTCACCCCTTTATGTGGAAACACCCTAAAGGAGTAACTCCCCTGACACACAGCAGTGTTTCAAAGGAGACAGCTTGTTGTGCCTAAAGTGATGGGACCCCTGTCCCCTTCAGTGKGTATCACTGCTCCCAAACCTTTAACAGCGTTCACATATAATTAGTTGCCATAAAGACAATGGGAATCTCAGTGGAGATAAATCCTTTCACAAACTGTTTGGACCTTTGTTCTTTCATCTGCCAGGTTTCCTTTTTGAAAGGTTTTTCTTTCAATTTCAGTTACTCATCTACTTCTACCTTTAATCTATGAGGCTTGCTGATAATTRAATTAGAGGCCTTGGTCTAGTCTGAAAATCTGTTTTACATTTTTGTTACCTCAAAAGGGACATTTCAATTACATCCCCTGTTTGGTAAACAAATTATAAACTGCCAGCAGACTCCACTGCAGCAAGTATCCAAAATGTGTCTTTTCAGAGACCACTGTGAAGGTAGCAAGTTTATGTTTACAGCAAGYGGTTTGTTAAACCCCCTTTTCCGACACCTCCTCCCAAATCCCAGACCCACACTATTCTCTTACACAGAGCACARGAGGAGCAATCAAGAAAGATTTTCTTGCTATTTAGCCTCTTCCTTAAAATCTTTCCATGCTGACAAGCCAGGTTTGACACAGGGTGGGATATGTTCTGCTACGTATTTCTTGCCTTTTCATTGTCTTCTGATGAAGGGTTACATCCATGTTCAGAATAAATTTGATTAATTTACAGAAACCTACTTGTCAGTTCCTGAAAATAACAGCTGGGACTGAAAAGGATTTTTGCAAGATGAACAGCAGGGATGCAGAAATACATCCTGCAAACCCCAGCATATGCAACAACGCTGATATTTCTGTGAGCTCATTTGATAGGAGCCAATTTGCAATGCAGGAGTGGGTGTAAGTGACAGCCGTAGGCAGGGGACATCAACACCTCCCATACCACACACCAATGAAATGTGTTTTGCTGCTAAACTTTGTC